TTCCTGTTGTTTGACTTGTTCGGACCTGTCATCTCATCAGTTCTTTGACACGTGGACCCACTTCAAAGTTGAACTTGTGTTGTTGTTTTATTCTTTGCCTTCAACACCATCGCCTCCAGCATCATCTCCATCTCCTTCATCATCTTCATCATCTCCTCCCCCTCCTCATCATCATCATCATCTCTCGTGTTTGTCTCATTCTCGTTTTCCTCCGCATCTTTCATCTCATTTCTCTTCTCAGAGGCCACGCATGGTCAGCCTCCCAACCTGTCCAGCGAAGACAAGGTACCATCCCGCCCTCGCCCTCGCCCTCGCCCTTGTTGTCGTCCGCCTCATCCTTGTGCTGCTGCTGCTGCTGCCTTACCTCTCACGTGCTTGCAGAAGTTTTCGCGTGCTGGTCTCAATCGAGCCCTGATGAGGAAGAGCGTGCGGGTGAGAACCTTCTCCTTCCCTGTTCCTCTCCTCGTCCTCTCCTCCTCCCCTGCTCCGCTCACCCGTTGCCGCAGATCAAGGTCTCCTCTGCAACTCCCACCCTCCTCCCCAGCCTCAACTGAGACCAAGCTCCGCCGCCAGCTCCTCCTCCTGCGCTTGCCCTACTTGTTTGCTATGAATGTGTGTCGTACAATAAATCTCCTTGTTTGGTATGAATCCAGCTGAACTGACGGCACGTATGCTCTCCTCCTAACTTTCTCGTTTCTTCCCCTCTACCTGCCGTGCTCTTGCCGTGCGATTTCCTGATCTCCCTGGACCCAGCCGTGATCCCGCAATATATTCCACTCCCCCAATCTCCCTCCTCTCCGCTCCCTCTCTCCTCTCCTCGCTTCGCCAGTACTGTTTCCCCATGGCTGCTCCTCCTATGCTTGCCCTCCCCAGCATCCCTCCTCCTCCTCTCCCTGCCCGAATTTCATCCGCGCACTTGGTTGGGTTCCCCGGGATTTCAAAACCATACTCCAAAAGGAGCTCCTGCTATTCTGTCACTTCTCTCCTCCCTCCTCTCCTTCCGTTCATCCTACCCCCATTATCTTCACAGCTCCTTCCCCTCCTCCTCCTCTCCCTCCCCTCCTTCTCTTCTACCCTTCCACTCCCGCCCTTCCCCTCCCCCCCACTCCCCCCCACTCCCCCCTCCTCCTCTCCTCACCAAGTTGCACTTGTTCCCATAGGAGACGAACACTTGCTCTCCCGGGCGGTACGACACGTCGCTCACAACCTCGAGGTGCGGACGACGCTGACTCCCCCACCTGATGTGTCCTGCTCCCTCTTCAGCTCTCTGCCAGCGTCCCTTTCTTCCTCCCTCAGTCCTCAGCCTCTCGCCTCCCCTCTTCCACCCCGGCTCTTCTCCCTCTCCCTCTCCCACTCTCCTTCCCCTCTTCACCTTCTTCACCTCCCTCCTTTCCCTCTCCCTCCACCATCCCTCTTCTCATTCTTCCTCTCCCTCCTCACCGGCACGAGGCTTGTGGTTCAGCAGCTCAGCAACTGGCGCCATCACCCACTTTGCTGGTCCGATCCACGTGCCATTTGGATAAAACTCGGGCTCCTCGAATCTCCGCATCAGCCACATCCTCGACAGGACAGCAGCGATGGCCCACAGGTAGTTGGAGTAACCTGTGTCTTGCTGCGAGAAGATGTGCGGAAATTTGCGCGGCAATGGCGCGACTTCCGTCCTCCACAGCCTCTTATACATACTCCTCCTGTTCTCAACGAAGGAGCAGAGGGAGGAGTACTCCTCTCGCTCGCACGTCTCGTTCAACTTCTTGGGGCTCCACAGCACGGCTGGCCCGAGCTCATTCATCCCCGGGATGCCGCAGAGGAAGAAGTCCCAGCGCGAGCGGACCTTGGAGGAGAAGTAGAGGAGGAGGAGCGTGAGGCGGTCCAGCTCCTGCATGTCCTTCGTCCTCTTCCACACGTCTTTGAGCGCTCCTCCGGCCGTCTCATAGGAGAAGAGGAGGGAGGGGGGCACGGAAACAATGACTTCTCCTCTGTCGATCTTCTTGGTCGCATACATGCCTCGCACGCCTCCTTCCCTCCTGACTTCCAGCTTGGGGAACTTGACCCCGGCCATCCTCGCTGCTGTGATGATCTCTTCATCCTTGCACCTCCTCTCTGACGTTGCTCGCGCTCTCCTCGACCCTATCACTGCTTGTTCTCCATCCCCTCCAAGCAAGTTCGACGTCACAACGAGCAGCACAACGAAGGCGACGAGGGACTGCAGAAAGTCCGCGTAAGAAGAGTGAAGGAGCGATGAGGAGAGGGAGTGATGCTGAGATAGAACGGGAGATGGAGACTAGAACAGGAGGGAATGAGCAGTAGGGTAAACATGGCATGGATCCTGTTGCATCTACGTCTCTTCCCTGGTATCGACATCATCGAACACCCACCGTCCAGCACTTTTTCACCTCTCTCCACTTGGAGCATATGTAAAGTTATGTTTCTCCCACCACTGCTTGCTCTTTGTCGCTCAGATCCAGTACCTTGTAATACACTGCTTCCTGGTGTTCCTAATTTCTCCCTGTTTTTTGCTCTCCACTTCTTCTGACTCGTCATGGCATACATTGTAATTTATTCCCCTCCGCCCTCCCTCTCCCTTCTCCCTCCCCTCCCCTCCCCTCCCCTCCCCTCCCCTCTGCTCTGCTCTGCTCTGCTCTGCTCTGCTCTGCTCTGCTCTGCTCTGCTCTGCTCTGCTCTGCTTGTTCATCTCACCGCCATCATCGGCCATGTCGGCTGTCGGCGCCTCCCGAACTTCATTTTCTCATACAGATGGTTCTGCAACGGTTTGTAACCGCCAATCAATAAGCTTGACTCGTTGCTCACTGCCGTACTGCGCCGCGGCGGCCCGGGCCCGGTCCGAGCACTGCGCGCGCCACGCGGCCCGCGGTCGGATCGGACTCCCGGTGACCCGGGCGTCCCCGGAGTCCGACAGTCACCGTGTCACATCATGCCGGGCGCGGCCCCACTCCGGGCGCGGGAGCGGGGCCTCCCCCCGGGCCCCGGGACTCGCCGGAGGGCGGGCGGGCGCTCCCGAGCATGCCAGCCTGGCCCAGTACCCCGGAACTGGGCCCGGCCCGGCACCGGGGCTTCAACTGGCCCCCCGGCGGCGCGACTTGGCCCGTTGAAGCTCCGACTCGACTCGGCGCCGTGACGGTTCGGACCGTACGGTGCCAGGGCATTTACTCAAATCATTGCCATCGGAATGGACTCGAATACCGTTTACGTTTGCCAAATTCAGGCCCCGGCGCCATGGCATAGTAGGCGGCGCATGCCAGCCTGAACCACTGAGCCGCGCCTCGGCCCCGAGTTAGTGCCGCAGTGCCGTCACGTCCGAGTCTTTGAACCGTTCGGATGCCAGTGAGCAAATTGGTTGTGGCAGCCCGGCAATGAGCCACTGCTAAAGAGACCGGCCGCATCATGGTGCACGGTGCCTGCGGCACCCCAGCCGGGCGCGCCCGCCCTGCCCGCCCTGCCCGCCCTGCCGCATCATGGCAGGCCGTACTCGCCGGTAGTACGGTCGGCGTATCACCGTTCGGTCGCCCCCGCGGTGACTCGCTGGGATCGGCACTGATGATGTCGGACCGTGCGGGCGAGCTTCTTCAGGAGCCTGACCGGGTACCTCCGAGATTTCATGAGCAGCGATGATCCGATTGTCGGACGGTTCGCACTTCGGAATGCCGCTTAGCCTGACTCCGACTGAGCCTCGGAGGCCGCGCTCGGAGGCCGCGCTCGGAGGCTCTTTCACTCAGGCCGCTGTCACAGTGTTGAACATCGACTGCCAGTTTCCCTGGCTGATGCCATATGACTTCAAGAGCACTGAGAAATGAATTGTGCATACTGACGAAGAAATCTTGTACGACTCTTGACTTGAAAGACAGTGAACAGAAATATGCAGAACACGTACAATATTGTTGAGAAGGTCAAACCTTCGAGCTCAGTTGCCCACGACTGAGGATTCTTATGTATCACGATCCTCGAAAAGTGACCGGCATATGCCAAGACACCGATGAGAATCATCTGCTCCTTATACGAGTCCAAGGTCACAGAGAAAGCGAACGTGAGGATCAAAGAGCTAATCTTCGCACGTTCAATGTGCATATCCATGAATATCAGTTCCGCCAAGAAGAACAAGAATCTGATGTGTATAGCCCTCCTGACAAAGACTGCTACCCGAATTCTTTGCTTCTCCGACATACGAGAAGACATGGAGAGCACTACCCATAGGCCGATCAGAACTGACAGACGTAGAATGAACATGTAGTCGTCAAAGTTGCTGATGCCTTTCTCGTGGTGCCGCACTATCAAAACACCAAGATGGTATGCTGTCGATATGCCCAGAGTCATGGTCGAACCTACATTGTCGATGCAAATAATGGATTGAAGGAAATGCTCGTGGTACTTCTTTTCGACCGCCGGCTGTCTGAAAGGCGCTGCATCTTGTAGCGTGCTTGTGATGAGATCTACCGCCTTTAGCCATGGTTGGCCAAGTGTTTGTTCTTTGTTGCCAAGTGTTTGTTCTTTGTTGTTTTCCTTCATGTCCATGTAAAACGATGAACAGGCCAAAACAGGAATCCCTTCAGAGGGTCATCTTGGCAACTAGCGTCAGATATTCTTTCTCTCTCTTCAGGTCGCCGTGTCCACTTCACCGCCTGCTATCGGAATGATCGCTGAGCAACTCAATGACGCTCCTGATATCGGATGATTCGCTGCAGCAACCTGCTCCTCTCCTAGCAATACTCGCACATGCCTGGATGCTTGTCGCTCCTCGTCTTCTACAGATCTCTGACCATCCTCGTCCCCGGAGCCGATCACGTTACCGCTCACGTCACCCCAACAACCCCACCACCGTCTATTCCAGCCTTAACCACCCGGGGTGTGACCTAATGGCCATGACTCGATGACTAGGTTTAACGGTCACGAGGAGTCCGGCGTGCTGATCTGATGGCCACCGTCCGTCGGTGACTAGCCGGAAGGAAAAACTCAGGACAATCGCCGGTCCGACTCGACCTTCATCATGGAACTTCCCGGAACTTAGCCCATGCCGTGCTCCGCCACCCCGGGCGCGGCCCGGCCAGCCTCCCGGCACTGATTGATCCGCTGACTCAGCAGTGCCACTGCGGCCGGCGGGGCCGGGGGTCACTGTCGGCACTGTGGGTCGGGACCGTCCGGGCCGACGGTACGGTCACCGGGTCCGAGTCCGAGCCGGCCGCGCGCCGATCGGGATGATCCGCGGCCGGGCCGCGCCGACCGTCGGCGCCGGGCGGCGGCCCAGCCGCAGTCACGCCGCCGAGCAGAGTCAGTCCGACACGGCCGAGCAGAGTCAGTCACGGCCACGCCGCCGCCGCCGGGTTCCGAGTTCAAGCCCGCGGCCGTCAGCGGCCAGGGCCCGGGGCCCGGGCCGGGCAGCCGGCGGGCGGCCGCAGTACCGTGATAACTTAACTTTGAGGCGTAGTAAAAGATGACAGTATTACTCAAAGTTAAGTTAAAGAACAGTACCGAGGACTATACGTCACAGGGAGAAGACGAGGCCGCGGGAAGCGACTTTCGATCCAAGTGGTAGGTAGGGTGGTCAAGTTGGGTTATGAGCCCGTAGTTGACAGGAATATTACGGGGTGGGGTACTTTTTGCAAGACCCCCCAACGGCGGAGGTGTTTGGTACCATACCTGAGTGAAGGTCGGAAGAAGTTTAGAGGTAGGGGTATGTGCATGACTGACAAATGAGGGGTACTAAGTAGTTTCGGAAAGGGTGGCTTCCTACTTCTGAAAGGGTCAGAAAGATTTTCAGGGTAGGGGTGGATATGCATAGCCAAAGGCGGTATGGGTGGGGTGTTGGGGAAAGGGGGTAGTAGGGCATTGGTAAGGAATATCGCGGGGTGGTAGGGTTGGAGCGTTTGATCCACCCTGTCGGTGTGAAAGAGGCAGAGGGACCGGTGGTGATGACCATGCTGGGGTGGGTTTATTCTAGGGGTGGGTTTCATGAAGATAGAGTCGATTTCCTCGTTTGGATATGTCCGAGAACAAGGGTAGAAAAGAAGAGAAGGAGAGCGGAAGAGAACGTAAGGAGAGCAGAAGAGAAGGAGGAGGAGGAGAGAGGTAGAGCGAGAGAGGAGAGGAGAGGAGGAGAAGGAGGGACCACCAGAACGAGGGTGGGAGGGAATACTGGGTCGCTACAGGTTAAACCATGAAAATAGAACCAGATGAACTTATTTGATGTCAGTTTATCAGTAGAAAGAGAACAATACAGATATAGTCGGGAGCGGGGCCGGCAGGGGGCAGGTGGTGGACAAGCATAAATAAGAAAATTCTCATCGGCGAATTGGAATTCTCCTGAGTAACAGGGTGGAAAAGAGAGCAGAGGGATCGTTCTGTGCTCTGGCAGCATGACAGGATACGAAGAGCGAAGTGCATCCAACTCGATTTCAAGTTCACATTCAATGCCATCGCAGCATCATACGCCAGCTGTTGATGAGTACAAGCACATACAGATGTTGTTCAAGGACCAAGACACAACTGAAGGCTCAGTGAAAAGCGAGAGGGACCTGGAAATAAGTATCAGACAAGATACTCCTGTTGGACCGCAGGCCACTGAAATCACGGAGACATGTTCTCAGGAGCAGAGAATCCCTTCTCTGCAGGGGACGGACTTGTCTGGCTCAGGCCATCCACTGCGTGCTTATCCCTTACATCATGTGAAGCAAATAATCCCCCCATCAAAGCAGACTGCTGCTGCCTTGCAAGTAAGCTCATCCTGGTCGTCGAATCCCGGTCGCAACACTGCGGGGTTGGCCAATGGCAACTCGTTTGTGAGCTCAGGAAGCTCGAAGGGGAGATCCGTGCAGGGGTACGCGTTTGAGGACATGTCGTTTGACAGGTATTCCACCAAGTCCACGTCGAACTGCTTCTCGGCATTTCTATTCAGGAGGAAACAAAACACTTCAAGATTGAACCTCGGGTTGTCGGCACCTCCCAGACACAGTGTTTCGCTTCACGGTGCTGTTCATGAATCATTCGATGATGGAGCTTCGGATGCGGGCACGCTCGAATTGTATTCTAACGACATCAATTGGATATGCAGAACACGATCTGTGGGGGTGAGCTTCTTTTGCTGGTGTTGTACATATGCTTGTCTGACATTGTATTCTGCAGCTTTGTGAAGTGCATCGAGTTATTGTCAAAGGGCAACAAATGATTGCCAAAGTGCCAAAAGCGAGGCTCCCTTTTGAGCTTTCATTGCGCGCACAGGCAGACATTCACAACGAAGCCAAGCTCATCTCGACAATCCCTCCCCACAGAAACATCGTACAATTCCAAGGGTTCATTAACGACGAGTTGGCAGGGCAGCGTCCAGTTGTCCTCACAGAGATGGTTTCGATGACAAGTCTTGCAGACTTCCTGCAGGAGCGACAGACCCTCTACGGCGAAGGTCAATGGAGGCCCAATCGAATGGTCTCTCTGGGATGGTGTATCGGGATGGAAAAGGGCCTTGCATTCTTGCACAGTCGCCAGCCCCCTTTGATCCACAGTGATCTGAAACCAGCAAATCTGATCCTCTCTGAAGACCTGACCAACATCAAGATCGCCGACTTTGGCCTCGGCTCATCGGTAGATCACTCGGAAGCTCGGGATCCCAGTGTGTGGGAGAGACAGCGAAACTTTGGCACGGGGACGTACCGTTACATGGCACCTGAGCTTGCCGATCGCGCTTGTGCTCCCAATGAGCAGACAGACGTGTACAGCAGTGCGATCATCATGTGGGAGATCTGCACGGGCATGATGGCGTTCTCTCATGCCATCCACCTGCTGGCCGATGAGAATGTGAGGAAATTTCTTCGACCTCCTGTTGATAGGATTGGATGGGTGCCGCTGATCAACGTGATTGAAGCTGCTTGGCATCAGGAGCCCTCTCGACGTCCGACAGCCTCAATGATTTGCGATCAACTTCAAGGGCTGATCAAGCAAAGCCAGACTCGCTTTCAGAGGTTTCGATCTTGTTTCTTGTAAATCGGCAGGTATCTTCTGATGAGTAGCGGTGTATTCCTGTCTGTGCGTTATCTTTTTTGTCCAAGCCAGGAAGTTTGTAGATTAGTACAGCGAAAAAAAAGTGACTTTTCATCGTCTGTATTGTTACACGCACACTAGTTTAAAAATTCACGCTCTCCAAAACTTGTTCATGTACTTACGTGCCCTCATGAAAATCTCCACTCTCCGAGATGGAGCAAAGTCTCGCAGATACAAAGCTGTCCCCTTCTGCGAGAGCGCTACAGGTATCGCTCTGTCAGACAGCCCTTCCTCATCCCACGCGTCGCAACTGCAACAACATGTGAATGTCCAAAATTCAGGGCAAGCCTTCGTACCATGCTTGTGATGTACAGCAAGGCAACGGCACAAGTTGACAGCAGAAAGTTCCCTCCACAGGCTGATATGGTTCCTGTAGGGCTGGATCTGGTGACAAAACCTACAGAAAAAGTCAGGTGTAACATACAAAGCTTGCGAGTCTGTGGTGAAAACAGTGGTGCATGGCACCCCGGACAAGTCACCCCATACATATGCCTGTTGCGCAACAGCGATTGGCTCTTTGTCATTTCTTCTCACCTGAAGTTTCTCTCCTCGTCCTCCTCTCCAAGTTACAACCGTAATAGCCATCATCAGTGCCACCGCCAATGTCGCTGCCACCATCGTCGCTCCGTATTTCGCCTTCATCTCGCCCCTTCGCACTCGCCGTCTAGAGTGCTTTCCGGCAATTGCAACGGTTACAACATCGTTGAATGTCCGCCTTTGACGGACTTCTCTCTGGTACCCACCCCTGGAAATGTAGGACAAACTACCCCTTTGAAATCGTTCTCGCACCACCCACCCACAGCCAAAGCTCAGAGGCTGATGGTGAAAACTCAGAAGGAGGTGTAGCCGAGCTGGGGGGGTAGGGGGGTCTTTGCGGAATCACGAATATGGGTAGGGTGATCAAACTGCTTTTCGAACTGGGGGTACTTTAAAAGAATTTGAGATGATATACACACCGGTCATCGTGCTATCTGAGGGGTGGACAAAATACATGAGGGACATACGGTAGGGTAGCCTTCAAATAGGGGTTGATGATGTCAACCAGTAAGGGTGGGGTTATCTTTCAATTGTGGGGTAATAACAAAAGAGCTCACAATGACTGAGGGGGTAGGGTAGAGTGGTTCAGGGTGGTGGAGTGAGAGAGGGTAGGGTACTTGTACAAGGCGAGGTGCCTCGGGAGTGTGGGTCTGATAGGGGAGTGCCCTCACTGCAGGGGGTGAACAACGATGAGGGTGGGGTGGAAAGAACCCCTCATGGTAACCAAGTAATCTCTTTGTGATGGGGGTAGGGTATTTTAGAAGGGGTGGGTGGGTCTCCTTGCGCGCTAGTTCCACACAGCTCATGCACAGCATCAGTTATGTATCGTTATCAGCAGCAGCAGCAGCAGCAGCAGCAGCAGCAGCAACAACAACAATTCTTCTTCATTGTTATGAATCCTCCTCCTCTTTCCCCATCCCTGTTGTCCTTCTCCCTCTCTTGATTGCCCTCTTCTATCACGCAGATTGTCAAATTTTCTCGTCCATTCGGGCGGCGGTCGGTTCTCGTCCCTTCCTATCCTCTGTGCTGTTCTTCCCACCCTCCTCCACATTTCACATAAAGTTGAAAGATCCCTCTTCCTCGATGCTTGTATAATGGCACGGCTCAAAATTTTGCGATATTGCGCTCGCCCCAGGATGTTTCTTCTAATTTTCGCTCGCTTCGAATACAGCAGAAGTTTCTGACTGCGTCAGCTTTTAATCTTGATCTTCACTGATGCTTATGAGATTTTCCTTCACTCGTTGTGTTTGAGACGAGAATCATAGATACGCTCTCATTTTTTAGCCACAAGAATGGTTGCATGATAATGCATACTGCACATTTTCATCAACCTGACATGTTCACGGTTGAGCATCACACTTTAGTTCTCCTCCTTCACAAACCGTCTTGAGGCCCATATGCTCAACAGAGGGTCTTGCTGATTGCTCACCAATTTCTGCAGGACGATGTCGGCGGCATTCTTTCCTCCAGTGACGGAAGCGTGGAAGAAGGCGCAGGTGAAGGACGGAGACGTACCTTGCACAGCCTTCCTTGAGGCAGCTGAAGCCTTCATTCCCCTGTTTGGTGAGCAACTTTGATCAGCGTCCTCCTCGCTTCCTGGTCTCATCGTCGGTCGTGCTTTGTAGATCGTCTCGGAACTGTATTCAGCCCCGTCAAGAGCGATGTGGGAGGAAACGTTACCAAGCTCAAGGCGGCGCACGCCAAGAATCCCACGGCAAGCCTGAACAAGCTCATCTTGGACGAGGTTGCGGCGGGAAAGACCAAGGACAAGACCTCTGCCTCGATCGCTCTCCTCTGGTTCAAGAGGTACCTCCAAAGATTCCCCGCCCCTCTACCTCTTGTTCTGCACTTCTTACATCTTGTTCTGGACTTCTTACTTTCGCATCCCCCTATCTGCTTGCGGCTGGTTTGCTTGTGATGTCGCTGTGCAGGGCGATGCAGTTCATCTTCTCCATGTTGAAGAAGGTTTCTGCTGGAGAGGACGCTAACAAGGCGGCGAAGAGTGCCTACGACGAGACTCTGTCGCACTATCATGGCTTCCTCGTCAAGAAGAGCTTCCAGGTGGCCCTCATGGCTGCTCCTGGCTCAGACTCTATGCTGAAGGCGCTCGGCAACGACAAGGTGGGCTGACGATGCTGCTGTGTGAGGACGGTGACGGTGAAGAGCAGGATCAGACTATGCGAGAGATGCAGGAATGGGTGTCCGCCGCCTCTCCCATCCTCGACTTCATCCACGAGTTTCTCGACAAAAACAATTTGGATGACAAATCGAAGGTTTAAGTCTTGAAGGAGGAGAAGCGAAGCAGCATGCTGCTTCACTCCTGCCATGACGGTGATGGCGCTATGGGAAGGGAGGGGGCAGCAGACTCTTGCTTGGCCGGGACAGACTCTCCCCGAATGGCCTCTCTGTAATTTCATGTTTCTCTGTCAACAGCCCTTGGTGCAGATGATGCGCAAAAACAAAATTCTCTAGTCTTCAAGATAATCAAAAAGTTATGAATCCAAATTGTTCGAGGATCTCGTTATCTTCGCTTGTCTACTGTACAGTATAGTGAGGTTGAGGAAGTTAAGTTTCATCTATTCCAGCCTCATGTCCTGCTAGTCATCCACAGTTAAACCCTGTCAGCTCTCCTGACTCTCCAACACAGCACAACAGGTTCAATCGACAGCAATCAAAATGCAGACCGGAAGGTCGTGTAGGTAATCATCAGTCCATGAACTTGATTCGCCCTCCTACACTTTTCGTCAGCCCTTGTGAACATAACACTGCACGCCTCATCTTCACCTGCGCGTTGCTCGTTCCGCGTACACTTGCCGCGATCGGGGGGTTCTAGCAAGGACGCGGACATGAGGGAGAGGACAACGGATGGACAAGTAGCAAGAAAGAGCCTCGGAAGCAAAATCACCTGCTGCTGTGGCTGCTGGCTGTGATGGTTGTGGTTGTGGTTTTGGTTTTGGTTAGGCTGGTTGTTCTTGGGAGGAAGAGTGACGATGATGGTGTGTTGAGGGGATACTTGGCTGGGAACTTCAAAGAAGAAGGAGGAGCCGTCGGGTGCGAGGGCCTACGACACACGGTAAGAGGAGAAGGCAGCCGCTGCGGCTCTGACCTGCAGCCGCTGCCCAGGTTTGGCATCTGGTGGGATCACAACTGACAGTTGACCACCCGCCATGCTCTCAGCGCTCTGCTGCTGCTCCGGCAGCATCACGAAGATGGTTCCGCCCGCTGTTGCTCCCGTAAGTTCGCTGATTTGATCGGGAGGAGGAGCATGCCTACTGCTGCGTTGGGCACGTAGCACTTGAACTTCATCCCGTTGGGGGCAAAGCCCTGGTGACTTGAGCATGAGTGGGGGAGAAGAGGAAGGAGAAGAGGGAGAGGAAGGCAGGCTGGAGAGAGATCTCGAGGGAGGGAGACTGGCAGGGCGAGGAAGGGGAGGGAACGGGAGGAGTTGGAAGGAGGGGAGAGTGTAAGGAGGGAGCGACGCGATAGATGGATCCGTGAGGAGCAGAGGTCACCTGGATCTCTTGGCCAGCTATGACACCTTCAGGGACCTTCACCTGCCCGAAGAAGCTGAGATGCAAGCGGGCGAGGAGCAAGACCGGGAGCAGGAGCGCAAGAAGGAGCAGGAGAATTACATTTCACCTGGATCAATCTCCTCTGCTGCTGGAGCGCTTGAGGGATCTCAACTTGGATCAGCCCGCCTGGTCCAACACCAGCAGGCACCTGAGGCAAGATGAGAATGGAGAAGCGGGTACGTTCCTCCCTCACTTGAAACGCAAAGTTGAATCCCTCAGGACTGGTCGCCTGCCCACCCGCTCTCACCATTTCCTCGACGATAGACTATACCTCACCTGCATCGTTTGGCCGGGCACTGCGCCCTCTGGTATGCTCACGATCACATGCTGCTTCCCGTCCTGCCAAAGTGTGTCAGCACAAGGCATCTGCAGAGATAGAGAGTCAGACTGCTGAAGCGGTGGATCCTGCGGTTGCTCCTTGACCCTCCTCCTGTAGGGCATTGGGTCTGATCCTTGATGGCATCTCGCTATTGCCTTCACCCCAATCTGATACCATCAAGCATGCACAGAGCAAGATCAGCTTGTGGGAAGCGGAGCAGGAGTAGGAGGATCAGGGAGGAAAGGATGATCAGCAGGATCAGGATCAGGAGGAGGAGGAGGAGGAGGAGGAGGAGGAGGAGGAGGAGGAGGTGGTGGTGGTGGTGGTGGTGGATCAGGAGGAGGAGGAAGAGGAGTTCTGTAGACGAGGAGGATCACCATGGCTGGAGGTGTGCGCTGCGAGGTCTGCCATTGAATTAAATCGGCTTGATCCGAATCAATTCTATTGCTGCCCACCCGTTCAATTTAATATCAACCCCACAAATGTAGGGGTGTGAAGTGTGTCTGGTGAGAAGTGGGTAGGTAGATGTTTAGAATACCCCTATTGGAGGGGATATTATGAGTATGTCATGAGGGGTGCTATCATTGGAGGGTGGGTACAAAAATTTATATGATTCATGTTGATAGGGTGGGTATCGGTTGAAGAGGGTGGGGTAGGGACTGCGAATGCAGAGGGCGGGCTAACCATGAACACGGGAGGAAGAGAGTAGAGGGAGGAGGTGGAGGAGAGGAGGAGGAAACGATGAAATGAGATGAGAAAAGGAGGAGAGGGAGAGATCGAAAGGTTAGATCACATGAGCGAACGGAGAATGTCCAGGAGGAAGGGAGAATACAATAAGAAGAGGCAGGGCTGTTGAACAAGATTGTGGAAACATTGATGCGAAGAAGATTGATGCTCGATAAAGATAAACGGGATTACACCAACGAGAAGCTGAACGAGAATGGAAATTCATGAATGGATCTACGAGTCGTGTGGAAAAGGGAAGTTATAAGTCATCAATCGAAATGGATGAGAGTTCTTAGACTGGCAATATTTATGTTGAATTAGACGAACATTAATCCTAGCGTTGTACCGTGCCATGGCATTTCCATACAGCCGTCACACGATGGAAGATATCAGGAAGGGCAGGTCTGCAAGGGAGCTAGGGACTTCATCGTGTTTGCTTTTCATGTTTACAAGAGAAGGAGACGGGGATGAAGATGAGTATGACCTGCGTCACAGTATAGGCATCCATGACCAGCTCATCGTCCGACAGCGAAGACGAGGTATGTTTGGCTGCAAGAGCTCGTGCACTTGGAGTGAAAATGGTGGCAGGCCAAGGACACCAAGCAATCGCCAACTGGTAGTATTTCTATCCTCATACTTGGTCATATGCATCGTTGTAACGATCTTGTTTTGCTGCAATTCTTTCTGCTTCTTTGCACTACCTGGTCACTCAAGAAGAGGTATGCCCGCCAGGTCCAGCGCAGAGACGTCTGACCATGATCAACTTCAGGCGCCTCGTCCCACATCAGGAGGAAAAACGCTCAGCAAAGGTGAGAACAGTGAGCTTTGACTTCCTGCTCGTGAGCTCACCTTGTTCTTCCTCGACAGAGGGGCAGAGACCGGCCGTGGTGAGCGAGCGAGAGGTCAGAGAGACGCAGGGCTGATGCGATGGAGCAGGAGAACGACAGCTCGTCCGACAGCAATGATGACGATGAAGAGAGCAAGCCAACAAGTGAGATGATGGTGATTCTTGTATCTCTCTGACTGACAGCTGTGTTCTCCGTCCTCCCTCGAGCAGAGAGGAAAGTTGCTGAGTCGTCTGAATCGGAAGCGGAAGATTCTGGAAAAGCGGGCAAAGATAGCCATGCTGACGACTCGCGGGATGCGGCATCGAACGAGGACGAGCGGCAAGATGGTCGAACTGGATTGAGCAGCGAATCAGAATCTGAAGACGATGGAGGAAAGAAGGATGAAGAGGCTGAGAGGCAAGGCATGACCACCAAGAGCTCGAAATCAGATCGACACAAGCTCAGCGATGATGAAAGCGACCATGAGGAAATGAAACGCTCGGAGAGGTGACCCCTCCAAATTTGATGCTGCCGATGCGTTCCCTCCCCTCCCTTGTTTCAAGCATCTCTATTATACTGAGAACGGATTCTCTCAGGGCCAATGACGATGACGCTGGAAAGGCGTCTGAGGCCTCCAAGGGACATTACGGTCGTTCGGGCCTCAGCGATTCTGATTCTGATGAGGAGGAGGTGAGCGCGAGACTTGATTGGAACTGGTGAGGCAGCTGCGACCTGACGGATGAAACAGGCGAAAGGGAAGGGAGACGTGGAGATGGGGGAACGGGGTGAGCGATTAAGGTGAGGAGGTTGTCAGGCTGACAGACCGGCAGCGAAAGTCAGCATGAAAGATGTGTTCGGTAACGGTGCGCAACCGAATTATTGATCACCCTCTACCCTTCTTGACTTGGCAGCAGATGAGTCGGATGAGGAGGAGGAATCTTCGAACAAGGTCCTCCCCCCTCCTCCTCCCTCCTCCTCGTTATCCTCCTTCTCCTCCTCCTCCTCGTCCTTCTCTTCGTTATCCTCCTCGTCGTCGCCCTTCTCCGGCTCTTCCTCCTGCTCCTCGCCTCGTCGAGTCTCTCTGTCTCTTGTCTGATTCGCACCTGGGCAGATGAAGGGGCAGCGAGTGATGCTGAACAAGGAGACGGGAAAGCTGGAGCGCGGGCCAACGGTGAGGACGGAGGAGGAGGAGGACGAGGGGAGAGCAGAATGTTGCTCATAGTGACTCAGGTTGATGCTCCCGAGCATGCCATGAGGAACATGGGAGACTCGATGAGAGAGGTCTAGTCTGTCCTCTCCCTCGCCTGTGCTCTTACCGCAAACCCTTGCTTCAGTCGTCTAGCGCTCTTCCTTCCCTGCGAGACCTTCACGCGACGATGCCTGGTAGTACTTTGGCCGTTGGGTGACTGACTGAAGGAGCTCGCAGAACTTCCTCGCCCTGATGACGGGGCTGTCTTGTACTACATGAGGGTCTCCAAGCATCTCCAGTTTGAGGTCTCTCGCCCGCCCCTCCCCCCCCCCCTGAAGCTGCTGCAGCCATACGCGTTCGGCTCCGTCGAGTCAGAGGAAGTGAGGATCAGGGAGAGGAAGGACAACGTCAGGTTAGATGAGAGCCTATCTCCTTGCGCTTTCCTGTCTGTTCCAACTTTGTCATCCGCATCCTCTTGCTTTCCCTCCTCCGCTTCTCCTGCCTCTTCTGATTTTCTTTGTGCAGCGAAAACATGGTGAGGTGGCGGAGTGTCGCATCCGATGGCGACGAGAAACGGGAGGCAGCGAAGGTGACACTTGTCGCTCCCAACTGTTGCTCACGGCTTGCAGGAGTCAAACGCGCGATTCGTACAATGGTCGGATGGTTCCCTGACGCTTCATGGTAGGCACGAAGAATAAGATGCCATAGAGACGAGAATGATGAGATGGTGATGGTGATGGTGACGATGATGATGTGAGATAATTATGATGATGATAGAGATGATTCAGATGATAGAGCATGGAATGCCGTAAAAGTCGATGATGAGAATGCGAACGACAGTGGTTAGAATATTTTCGCTGACATTTCCGATCAGTCGGAGAGACTGTCTTGCAAGTGAAGAAGGAGCCGTTGAAACAAGTTGGTCTAGTTCGGAACATTTTTGCGCACCTGACAACAACCGGTAGAATATGCATCACCTCTTTGTCAAGCACGAAGCTGCTCGAGAAACAGAAACAGACGAGCGACTTGCCATCGGTGAGGAGCGCAGGATCGAGGAGGAGGAGGAGGAGGAGGAGGAGACAAAGGTTGTGATGCTTTGCTTGCAGTCGAGGCTCACGGAGTGATGCAAAATCGACTTGTCTGCGTTCCGTTTACCAAATCAGCGGCAACGAAACAGGTGAAAGAGGAGGAAGGAGGAATCGAGAAACGAGGGCGTGGAGGATGAAGGAGAGAGGGAGAGGAAGAACGACGGAAGCTGATCAGCTGGTGTTGTGTACAGATCTTTCGCAGTCTTTCCAAGATGGCGAACGTGAAGGTTGGGAGGCGTCAAGGGAGAGAAGACGTAGTTGACTACGAGGTTTTAGGTCGACAAGTCGGACCTCTTGATCAAGAAGCAGGTGAGAGCAGGTTGCTTGGCCCTCGTGCAGTCCTGAGACTTATGGCAGATCGACGAGAACGAGCAGAAAGCTCTGCTCGGGCAGAAGGAGACGATGCGTATCCGCCAGCAGGTGAGCTCGAGCTCTTTTCTGCTACCTCCTTGTGACCTGTGACTGCAGTCGAGGAGAGAAGGCCTGAACCGACGGTCCCCCCTCCCCCCCCCCTCCCTCCTCCTTACTGTTATCCCCAGACGCGGAGCGAACGCGGAGATGACTGAAGAGTTCCTGGAGTCCGAGGACGTGGGAGGTGACGCCCTGCCTCTGTGCTAGGAGGAGCAGAGCTCTCATCGCTTCGCAGGAATGGTCCGCGCGTTCCGAAGCAACAAGAGGAAGGCAACGAACCCGGAGGTGCGCGAAGAGGACGAGGAGGAGCAGGAGGAGAGGAAGACAGATAGCTGAATTGTTGTTTTTCAGGCGCTACAGCGTGCGAAAGCTAGCTCGAGCAAGCGAGCTCGCTCGGATTCTGAATCAGAGGTAACGGCAGCTGCGGCTGCAGCCGCCAGGTAGTGACGAGGATGATTAGGAGAGCATGAGCAGTAGCAGCTCGAGCTCCAGCGACGGCGCTCGAGGACGCGCCGCCCCCTCCTCTTCCTCCTCCTCCAGCGGTGAGTCTTGCTGTTGCGAGCTGCGACTGTGAACGAAGCGCCATGCAGACGAGGAGCCGGTAGCAGTGAAGAAGACAAGCGCGTCGGTGAGTGGGAGGAGGAAGATGCGTCAGCCTTGACACGAAGCTCGCAGAAGAAGAGCCTCGAGGACAGTGAGGATAGCTCTTGAACTGCTCCTTCCTCATCAAAGTCGGCGTGTCCTCAACGCCGATCGGTTCCTCCTCCAATCCAGCCTCCCCCCCGCCTCCTCCCGCCTCCCGCCTCTCCTTCAGCCTTGCTGCTGCTTTCGCGTGGACGCTACAGTCATGCGGCCATTCTACTATAACGCATGGGGGAAGGGAAGGAGGGCGTCAAGGAGGGTTGAGCGAGGAGCAGCAAGTTGATCCACTCGAGGTTATACGAGGATGAGAGTGGGCAAGAGGGGGGGGGTGCAGAAGAGGTGGAAAATGCTCTTGTACTACACAGAGAACCATGTGAGGGGTAGGAAGGAAGAGAAGAGAAGAGAAGAGAGCATCAGGACAGGGCAGGGGAGAGGAGGAGGGTGGACGTCACAATTCATCCAGGGGCCTCGAGCTAGTCGGGCTCGACGTTGCTATCCAGTACCTGAGAGGGGAAGAGGAGAGGAGGATCAGTGAAGAGAAGTGATAAGGCGAGGAAGGGCTACCGGTCTTTAGAGGAGATCTCAGGTGGGAGCGTCAAGATTTTTGAAGTTACCTTCATCCTCATCCTCCTCTTTTCCGCCTGATTGTCCGTCACCACCACCAGCCCTTCTCTTCTCTCCCCTCGCTCCTCCCCCCAACCTCCAAAGTACCTCCTCGCTCCTTTTCTCCTCTTTCCCCCTCTTACCTCATCCTCATCTCCCCCTTTCTCAAAACATTCCAAGTACCTCCACCTCCTCTCTTCCCCTTTCCTCCTCCTCCCATGATCCTCCCAACGAGTTCACCTCGAAGTCTCTCCTCGCCTCTTCCACGAACTCGTCGTTGTCGATCCCTCCCCACGTCACATGAAAACTGCAGGTGGAGAATGAGAGGAGCATGAGGTGGAAGTCTCACCCGAGCATGACGGAGGAAAAGAGCGGGAGGAGGGTGCGGAGAGGATCTCTCGATTCCCTTGGAGCCTCGGCAAGCGACCACATACCGATGAAGCAGGAGCGAACCGCCTGACACGCACACGCTCACCTCACCCCCAACCCTCGCCGCTCCTCCTTCACCTGCTCCTCCAGCTCTCTTAGCGCGTCCGCGAGATCGCGAGGGTTCACTGCGATGTAGACCCCCTGCACCCCTAGAGGAGGAGAAGAAACGAGGTTAGGGGCGGGGAAAGAAAGTTGAGGAGGCCAGCGGGGAACGGAGGGAAGGAGAGAGGACGGGAGCGACAATAGGAGGAGGGAGATGGGGAGACAGGCGGGAAGACAGGAGGGAGAACGGGAGCAGAAGAAGGAGAGGGAGTGCGAAAGGGCCTGGCAGCATGGAGAGCTGGGAAGCGGAATGCTCGGATTTCACCCTGGGAGAACTTGGAGAGCTGCTCAGGGAGCATGCGAACTTCATCTGGAGAGGAGCAGTGACTTCAAGCAGAGCAGTCGCGCCGCCTCCCTCACGTCCATGAGCTTGCAAGTAGAAGGTCTGCACGCGAGCGAAGACCGGGAGGTCGAAGATTAGGTACCTGCCCTTGAAACCCGCTGATAGGAGGAGGAGGCAGAGGCCTGGAGGAACTTCAGCAACGGTCGGAGGAAAGACTCCTCGGGCACATCCGTATCCTGCTCCGAACTCCACGATGAGATCTGAATCCTGCCGGCCAAAACGGTAAGAGGACGAGTTATGAGCTCGGAGGAAGAGGAGGGAGACGAGGAGGAGAAGGAGAAGGACAGGAGGAGGAGAATCGAGTAGTCGGCGTCTCACCTGCCAGAGGTATTTTTCAGCGATCATGTGGAAGAGATAAAGATGAAACGTCTGATGAACCTGCTCAGCTCACACGGTCAGGTGAAACTACGAGGATAGAGAGAAAGACCAAGTTCGACGAGGTTATGACGCCGCTGGAAGTGCAGAGTGAGACGGGAAGGAGGGGGTGAGAGATAGATCGACGGAGGGACAAAGAGACATCAGTCAGTCAGTCCTGCCTACCCCAACCATGTCGTTCTTCACCTCTCGTCCAGCTGGCAGGTCGGGGGGCTACCAACAGGACTCTCAGTGAGGAGCCACTGCCAGACCTGAGCCTGCCGTGAGGGACGGGAGGAGAGGAGAAGGAGAGAGACGGACGTCATTCCATGCCGACGAGGACGCAAGGTATGCTACTTCCATCCCAAAGGTGTACGGCCACGAGGAAAACATACCCTAACAGTAGATGAGAAGAGGAGAGGAGAGGAGAGGAGAGGAGAGGAGAGGAGAGGAGAGGAGAGGGGAGGGGGATTCGGAAAGTGTGTCGACCTGATGGATCCAAGGAGAGACAAGAGGATCGAGGAAGTTCCTCAAGAGTCTTCAGTCAGTCGCATCGAGATGCAATGCCACCATGAAACACCAGGAGCTGTGCGAGCTGAGGGACATGGCGGCACTGCCATAGCGAAGCATCAGCGCAAAAGCGCAAGAGGAGCGTTGTTGGATACCTCTGCGAGAAAGAATACCAGAGGTCTGTCGACAACCTCTTCTCCTCCGAGCCGTCGCTCAAGAAAGCGTAACTGTGACCAGCCTCATCACGAGCCCGCCCCTCTCGTCATACTCGCACGCTTCTCCCGTACGATGGATCTTGAGCACGCCATCATGAAGCATCTTGGCAAGCACATGGTTGTTGTCTGAAGAGAGCTCTGGTTGAGTCAGCAAACAGGCGACTAGAAACAAACCTGAGAGATCCTGAGCTTGGAAGAAAAGGTCATCGTCGACCTTAATCCTCAATTGCCTCGCCTCCATAACCTGCAAGATATCAAGGCAAGGGACACACTCTGACAAAGCGTGCAAGCATAACAGGCGCAAAATCAACCTCTTCGCTGTTGTATTCTCGGTTGCATCTGATGAAGTTGTCTTGGAATTTCTACACAAACAGCTTCAGCGGTTCTTCACTGGCAACTTGAGCTCACTCGTAGGAGCTGCTCGTCCACGCTTCCCAGATGATCGAAGAGGCTCTGTTCAGAGAGACGCTGCCTACTGCTGCGAGCTGCCTCCTCCTCTCCCCAGGAGGAGCAGAAGAGCAGCAGCAGCAGCAGCAGCAGCAGCAGCTTACCACTCAACATGGCGGACCATGTTTCAATTTCTTTTTACCTTTTACAGTGGGCATGATCCGTTCCCAATGAAAATACAACACACGGCGACGCCGCGCCAACAAGTTAAATCAAGAAGCGGGGACGAGGGGCAAAGTTGAGTAATACAGAACCAAGGACAGCTGTCAGGCAGGAATGCAGACAAGAGATGGGGAGGGCAGGAAGAATGCAGGGGCGAGAAGAAATGAAGAGGATGAACATGCAGTGAAGCAGAGACTGAGATGAGTAAGAGCTGCGACAAACGATTCGAAGGCTTGAAAGAGGGATGAGGTTTGAGGGATGTTGATAGCATCTCCGAATTCTGAATTGGTAAAATCGGATTTCTATTGCCCGTTGGGCATGCATTGCATTTCAGAGACAATAATGAATGATCGATATTGCTAATTTGGAAGATAATTAAGAGTGATGTGTATTTTACGGTAACCTAGAAGCAATCTTGACTGTTCTTTGTTCTCTTCAGGCTGGTTGGTTGCTATGGGCCAAAATCAGAGCGGAGCTGGGGGGAGGGCGCCAGGTGGCATTTCGAATGTGCTCTGTTGTTGAAAACACTCATGCATGCATTGAAGGTGACCCTGACAAGAAGAAGGAAGAGAAGAAGAAATATGAGCCGCCTCCTCCCCCTAGAACCGGTTTGTTTTGAATTTGGGCCGTTCTTGTTCTGTATTCATTTCTTGGCAGGGAGGAAGAAAGTAAAGAAAGGGCCGGATTCAAACGCGCGGCTTCCAGCTGGTTTGCATACAATCTTTATCGTCGTCTTGCAAGTCTGATGTTCCCCTGAAGTTACCCCCAACGCGAAATGTCGGCTGCGCCTCTTAAAGCTAGAGCGAGTCAAGGATTATTTACTAATGGAAGAAGAATTCATTCAAAACCAAGAGAGGCTGAAGCCGCAAGAAGAAAAGTCTCAAGAAGAGCGCGCAAAGGCATGAGGAGGAACAACGGATCAAATCAGTCTTCCTAATAAGGTTTCAGGTCGATGACCTGCGAGGTTCTCCCATGGGGGTTGGAAATCTTGAAGAAATGATCGATGATAACCATGTAATCACTGTCACTGTTTGTTGTTGTCATCTTTGGTTTCATTTTATCAGTTGCTGATCTTAATGGTCAATCCTCTCAGGCGATCGTCTCCTCATCAGTTGGGCCTGAATATTACGTCAATATCATGTTTGACACTAATCTGTCTGTACCGCTCGTTCATTCATTCCTGTTGCTGTACAGGAGCTTTGTTGATCGTGACCTGCTCGAGCCCGGATGCTCTGTCTTGACCCATAACAAAGTATTGCTTGATTGCCTACTGGATTCGAATTTGACTTATCTATTTGATCAGGTTTTGTCGATCGTTGGAATTCTTGCGGACGATACAGATCCACTAGTCAGTGTCATGAAAGTTGATAAGGTATTGAAGTTGCAGGGACATCACTCCACAATGCCAATTGATACTCTTGAATCTTAGGCTCCGCTCGAGACATATGCAGACATTGGAGGTCTCGAACCACAAATCCAAGAGATCAAGGAGGCTGTTGAACTGCCTATGACGCATCCAGAATTGTACGAAGATATTGGTAGGAAAAATGCACTGATTGGTTCGGCTTTTGATTTCCCGAAAGGTATCAAACCTCCCAAGGGCGTTATTTTGTATGGACCTCCAGGAACTGGCAAGACTTTGCTTGCAAAGGTCGTGCATTGATTGATTCCTTGTTTCTTGTTCCACTTACATTTTTGGGCAGGCTGTAGCCAACCAGACATCAGCGACTTTCCTCCGTATTGTCGGCTCTGAGTTGATACAGAAATACCTCGGCGATGGGCCGAAACTTGTAAAAAGCTTCCAGACCTGTACTTCACGTGCCTTAACGTTTCCTCAGGTGCGAGAAATGTTCCGTCTAGCCGATGAACAGGTGTGCAAACAAGTATCCCTATTGCATTTGTTAAGTCATTTTTTGCTCCCTAGGCGCCATCCATAGTTTTCATCGACGAATCGATGCGGTAAATACTGAGCTTCTTCATGTTTTCGTTTGACGTTGATTACTCAGGTTGGAACGAAACGATACGATTCCACCTCTGGAGGAGAGAGAGAGATTCAAAGGACTATGCTTGAATTGCTAAATCAGTTAGACGGGTTTGATTCTCGCGGAGACGTGAAGGTGATCTACAAAGAAGCATGTTGAGCTAGTGGTTGATGAAATCGCAGGTTCTGCTAGCAACTAATCGTATCGAAACTCTGGACCCGGCTTTGTTGCGACCTGGGCGGTAAATTTGCGATAACAGTGTCTTTTGTTTGACATGCTCCTTCAGAATTGATCGCAAAATTGAATTCCCTATGCCCGATTTTAATACCAAGCGGCGAATCTTCCAAATTCATACCAGGTTTGGTGTGGTGGGGGACCAAGCTTTGGTGACATGGGATCATCAGCAAGATGAGTTTAGCAGATGACGTCAACCTGGATGAATTCGTTATGACTAAGGTGCGTTGGATACAATTTGCTTGAAGGTGAGTGTTACTAATATGGTGGCAGGACGACCTTTCTGGTGCTGATATCAAGGCGATTTGTACAGAAAGTGGTTTGCTGGTGAGAGTGTATCCCCTGAACGTGGACAACGTACTGAGCTACTATTCTGCAGGCGTTGAGGGAGCGGAGAATGAAAATCATGCAAGCTGACTTCCGCAAAGCAAAAGAAAAGGTGGGTAACAGGTTCGGTCCTATCGTGATCTAATGGAGGGCTCAGGTCATGCACAAGAAGAAGGAGGGTGTTCCCGAAGGCCTCTATCTCTAAATGGATGTCGTTGTTTAGACGAGGTCTCTCACGTATAAGAAAACATTGTCAAATCAGATGTGATTGACTTCCCTTCGACAATGTCACTTCAGTTCTACTCCCCTTCTCTTGACATGTCGCACTTCTAGCACCCGTACATGATTGTTTCATGCTCATTCCCTGACATGGCTCGAAAGTGCAAGCAGGCATTTGTTCCTGTCAGCGGAAAACAGACAGGCAACGCCTTGCAGGGCTCTTTACGGAAGTTTTGAGCCCTGTCGGGCAATTAGGCCCGGAGCCAAACTCCATTAGCTCTCAGAAATGGCAGGAGCAGGAGGGAGGCGCAAGGGCTCGACGAGCTCGCTACCACAGCTTCAGGAAGAAGGCTTGTCGCCCGATCCGTCCATGTACACCACCTTCACTTCCGATGTCTCCCGGCACTCCAAAACTCTCAGCGTGTCCAACTTGTCTGCTATCAGCAGCCCTTCCAGCGCTCGTTCCATCAACGTCTTCCGATACTTCATGTCTCCTCGCCCAGACTCTCCCAAGGTCTTGAGCATGCGCCATGACGAGGAACTGACGCCCCTGCAGGCCATGGGCAGCGCGTTCATAGGCGACGATTTCGAGGCCTCTAAGAGGCAGCAGAGGTTGAAGCTGCTGCTGCTCATCCAGTGCTGACGCTACGGCAGCACCAGCGAGGTCGGGGGGGACTGGGTTCAGCCGACCCCCAGCAACCCACGAGACTTGTTCGACATCAGCAAGACGCAGACGCAGTCGATGCTGGGCAAGGAGAGGCGGTCTAAGGTCAGCCGGGGATCCAATGGGAGGAGAGGAAGAGGATGATTCTCATGCAGTTCCCCGTCTACAACAAGCAAAGGGCATCCACACCCTTCATGCCCAAAGGTGCGCCTGCTTCTCACTCTGTCTCGTCTCATCTTGCCTCTTGTGTCAGCTCGGAAGCCGTTGAACCTCATGGAAGGAACTCTCAGGCGAGGTGACGGGAGCACCATGCGAGCCAGCCAATCGTAAGCGACTCGCTCCCCTCCTGTGCCTTCAGCTCCTGACAGCTCGTCAGGGTCATCAAGCCTTCGCATCACAGGGAGCAGGCAGGTAAGCAACTCGACCGACTCGTTGCCCTGCCAACCTGGTGCTGCAGAGGCTCTCAGCTCAAGGAGGGAAGAGACTCATCGCTCGCTCCCCTACATCGTCGTGGATCCGATCGCCAACAAGAAGGCTGACCGGATCCTAAGGGCCATCAGGCATCATGACTACATCGTCCAAAGCCCGCAGCACAGCAAGGTGCCCACACGTGGAGATGCGCGAGCTGAGACTAGAACATGCAGGCTTACGCTATCAGCGAGCGAGGTTATGTCGAGAAGCATGACAGAGGGCTTGCAGAGTTTGAAAGCTTGTCTGACCTGGGCTTCAACATGACATTGTATTCCCTTGCTTGCAAGGTGAGATTCATGTTTGCGAGAGATGTCTCTGCTCCATGTGACAGGAGACATCTCAGTTGCCATTATTTCGTCACTTCAAAGAATACAAAGCCTTTCGCTGGTGGGATAGAGCTCTGAGGAAGAGAAAGTTTCGAGATCGAATGGTAGCCCGCAATGATGAGGAGCATGAAGCGCTGATGTGCGGCAGAGGCGAATAGAGAAGCTCTTCCTGCAGTCTCGTCGAGAGTATCTTGCATGCATGCAGCTAGTCAACGACGAGTGTGTCAAGGTCACTCTCGACCTGTCCGTCGCTCTCTCACTCGCTTCTTGCAGCTCAGCTTCAGCCTTCTTGACGAGGGGCCGCTGGTGCCTCACGCAGGTGCTGCTGCTGCTGCTCTCTAGCGAGGCTGATGCGAGGCAGGTCTGTCGCTAGAGAGCCTGACAGAGGAAGTGGGTCAAAGGCGGGAGACGGTAGAGGAAGCGGTTGAGAACCTCCGACTGAAACTCTCAGGTGACGCTCTTGCCCTTGTCTGTCCTGACCTGCGGCCTCAGACTACCTCGAGAGCTTCTTCACCTCCATCTCCAGTCAGTTCGCCATCTCAAAGCTGCGAGAAGTGTACAAGAGGAACAGGCGAGGCGACATCGAAGAGGCTATCAGCATCGCTTCCGAAGACATGCACTGCTTGGGCAGATTGTACGCGCTTGTCGAAAACATTCTCTGTGAAAACGTCATTCGAATGAACATCAATGAGATCCAACGAATTGTCAAGCTGTTTCACAACCAAGATGGAGTGCTGCAGATGGATGCTTTCATGAAACTGGACCAGGAGATTGAAGTTGGTGACATCTCTGCTCTGCTTGTTGGGAAGCAACCAGCTGACTGTGTTGAGCTTGTAACCATTCCATCTCTTGACCATGTAACAGAGAACTTGACGAAAGCACTTGATAGTTTGCACTTGAGTCTTTCCTATTCCATGAGGCCTTGCATACTTGACGATATAGACAGATTCATTGCAGAGGAGATATTCAGCAATTATTCCATGTACAAACCTTCTTTCGGCTCGACTGTCGTCAATTCCGTCGATTTCCTTTCGAGTCGTCAGGAGCTTTCGGATATTCTTGAGTTGTCTATGAAGCAAGTGTTTGCAAGCTGTCAGCAGATAGTTGGAGAGTTCAAACCGATCTTCGCCTTCCTCCTTCATCTCGATGCGGCCACTGCAAAGTTCCAGGAGAAGGTGGAGACGTTCGAGGTAGAAGTGGAGCACATCGTGCGATGGATCACCACCATCACCCGGCTCATCTCCTCCGACGTCCCGTGCGGGTCCATAAGGCTCAAGTTTCGAAGGCTCAAGAGCTACTTGCAAGAGAAAGTGCAGAGAGACGTGATGGACAAGCGCTTCGACATCTTCTACAAGTTTGTTTGTGACTCCATCACCGAGTTGAAGCTGGTTGGAGGGAAGTTCACGCAGAGGCTGGACGTCAACGTGAAGAAGTTCGAAGACGTGGTGGACCTGTTGAGAGCAATGGAGGAAGTGGACGGAACGATGGAGGAGTACATCTCCCGGGTGTACTCCATCACGAGGATGCGGGAGACTGTGCTGACTCACTTCAACTTCACCTCCAAGGCTCTTGAGGATCAGAGCGGGAGGATCAACGTGCCGGTGCTGCAGGTAGCAGTGGCAGAGAAGATTCGAGAGGAGAGGCTGCAGGCGCAGTCGCGGTTCATGAACCGAAGAGACGCGTACGTCGAGCTGGTGCAGCAGGAGGTGAAGAGATTCCACAAGGCCTGCTCCGCTCTCCTCCAGAGTCTCAAGGCACCAGAGTTTCACGACCTCAAGTCTGCAGCTGAAAGCATCGCCAAGCAACTTGAAGCCAAGAGCAGTCAGGCTAAGGAGCTGCTGGCTCGCAGAGAGATGATCTTGTTTGCGGTGCGACACCTCAAGCTTTCAGTCTCTGACGACCAGGCTTCTCTCGAAGACGCTGAGAGCTGGATCGCTGCTCTGACGGCAGTCTGGAAGGTCTTGGCGAGTTGGAATGAGACGATGGAGAGGGTGATGAACACAAGCATCATGGAGCTGCAGGAGACGCTACAAGTCTCCTCCGTCGAGAGCCTCGTGGCGCAGGCTGAGCATGTCACCTCCTCCCACCCGTTTCTGCCAGTCACCATCAGGTTCACCCACGAGATCAGGTCCTTCCAAGCTCGATGGCAGGCGTTGAAGCCGCTGCTGGACTCGGCGATCACGAGCGACAGCCTGGAGTCGATCTTGCAGGGGAAGGGAGTGCGGATGTTGATGCCGACCAACCGGCTGACGTTTGCCATGCTCATGGAGAAGAAACTGCTGGAGGACGACGAGCAGATCAGCAGCATCCTCAGCGCTGCGAGGAAGAAGGGGGACTACTCCTCCAAGCTCGACCTCCTGCGCAAGTCCGTCAAGACCTGCAAGCTTCAGCTGTGCCGGGGCCAGGGAAACCTGTGGGTCAAAGACGCAGAGCGAGTGAGGACGCTGCTGCAAGACAATCAGAGCTTCTTCCGGTGGGTCAGCGAGATGAAACGCGGGGAGAAAGACCAGCTGTCAAACGTCTCTGAGCAGAACCTCGAGTCTCTCGCTTCCCTCACCCTCATCCACAAGTGCCAGGACCTCTGGTGCTGCTTCCGCATCCTCCGCCACGTCAAGAGCGACGAGCTGGAGCCCTTCCTCGAGGCTTTCCTGGGAGTGGAGGCTCTGTGGACGTCTTGCCTGGAGGATCTGGGGCACAAGACAGACATCATCTGGCTATCGGAAGTGAAGTTGGAAGATCACCTGCGGATTCAAGAGATCGAGCAGAAGTTCCAGACCCTCCGGCCCTGCCTCGACATCCTCCACCGCATCATCTGCAAGCACTTCAGCAGACTTGTCACGCTCAAGCCGAGAGAGGCAGTCAGCCTTTACGCCTTCTTCCTTGAGCCTGGTCCCTCCCTCCCTCCCTCCCTCTGCCGCAAATGCTTTCCGAACTTGACGGGGATCGAACTGAAGGATGACTTGCAACCAGCGCGAGTGCATTGCGAAGACGATGAAGTCTTGGTCTTGGATGAAAGCACATGTCAACTCAACACGACAGATGTCAAGATAAGCAACTTCTACCACCAACTCAAACATGCCGTCAAGGTTGCAATCTTCCAGGCGGTAGAATCAATCTTACATTCATCCAATGTAGATGATCTTTTCACAAATCACACATTGCAAAGCATCATGATAGCCATGAGGCTAAATTTAACGGAACATTACCGTACGAGTGGGAAAGAGGAACTAGAAAGTCACATTCTTGATACCATGAAAGGTTTGGCGACATATCAGTCTGATGGCGAGGTGAGGAGAAGTTCGAGAAGAAAGGTTGCAAACTGCATGATGTTGCTGATGGAATGGAGGGACATGGAGTATCAAGACATAGCGGATCATCAGTTTCTCTATGGAATTGTTGACCAGCAGATTTCTGTGTCTTGCGGCAAGTACACCATCAAGTATTCTTTCAACTACGTCAACGAGCATGTCGAGGTCTTGCTCACCGCGAGCACCAAGAGGATCCTGCAGAAGATGTTTGCGAGCCTCAGCTCTCCCTCCCTCCTCTCCCTCGGCAGGGCAGCAGAGGGTGAGCGGCTGATCAGACGAGTAGCTTCCATGTGCGGGTGTAACAGTCACGTGTACGACTGCATCATGCACGCCAAGACAGAAGAGCTGCTGGCCTGCGTGCGAGGGTCGATGGAGATGGAGGAGCTGGTGTGCCTGAAGCACGCGCACTTCCTCCCCTCTCCTTCCCTCGCAGCTCTGGCCAAGACGATCTTCCAAACATTGACATCTCCGTTGCAGACCCCAGAACCCTTCTCTCACCACGTGCGACCGCAGGTCTACCTGCTCTCTGACCAGCCACTCTCCTCGTCAGCCTTGCCGATCGAGATGCGGGAGACGCTGAGGCCTGTGGACGGAGTCTGCTGGAGGCAGGACAAAAGGTTTCTCTTCCACCTCTTCCTCAAGTCGTCAAACCCGCGCGTGCCCGACGTGGTGGTCAGCAAGATCGAGCAAGCTCACAGCCTGGTGCAGCTCCTGGCGATGGAGCAGGAGCGGCAACGAGTCAACATCAGATTCGTGAGAGTCTTGTGCGATGCAGTCGCCGCCAAGTGCCTCGAAGGCGCGACATCGCCGAGCTCAGAGGAGGGTCAGGTCGAGCTGGCGTTGAAGGCTTTCTTGCAGAGCTTGAGGCTCTTGTTGAGCACACAATCCTACGAGCGATGCTGCCTTGGCATTGAAGCAGCGATGAACTACTCCATACCCGAGTCCAGCGATGCGGGGCTGTACGAGGGTATCAGGACATTGAGTGTAGAGGAGCCGTTTGCCTTCACAGAGACGTTTGTTGAGCGATGCGTCAGCTTATACCACTGCGTCACGTCGGATGTCAGGATGACTCTGCTCTCTGGGGCGACCAAGGCAGGCAAGACGACGAGCATGGAGGTGGTGAAGAAGATGATGCTCTCGATGAGTCAGACCAATGACCGCAAGAGCTACGGGGGCTGCATCAGCACCACCGTCATGCCCTTCTCCTTCCCCTATCAAAGTCAATACTTCTCCCCCAGCTGCGGGCCACCTGGAGGGATCGAGAGCATGGAGGTGCTGCACGATTACATCAGTCGCTTTCTCGATCGCCCGGTGGACGAGAACTTTCCTATCGAGAGCAGGTGGATGATCATCGATATGCCTTCAACGCTGCAGCTGGAGGTGTTGGCCGACGGTCTAGACCAGCACTGCTTCAGCAGAGACTTCGCGGGAGGGGGCATGAGACCGAAGCTGCTGGTGGAGACGGATGAGATGGGAAGCGCCTCCCCCGCCACCATCAGCCTGCTCAACGTGCTGCACTACGAGGAAGGAGTGGTGGGCTGGAGAGAGTACTTCCACCAGTGGATGAAGACGGTACAGAAGCAGCTGGATGACAAGGTTGTCAATGAGCTGAACCACCTGGTGGAAAGCCTCTTCCCTGAGATCGAGACGTTCATACGGCATAACTGCCAGCTCTACTTGTACATGTCCACCGTCAACGTCTGCAGATGCTTCTGCAGTATCCTTCACTACCACATCTTCCTCGGCAAGGCTGTGCCCTACAAGCGGTCCATCTCCTTCTGCCGCTCCTGCTTCATCTTCGCCGTTGCATGGTCGTGGGGCAGTTTGCTTCAGGTCCAGTCTCGCGGGAAGTTCGCCGCCACCATCAAGCAGATGGTTCTCGAGCACGACCTGCTTTCCGACGCCGAGAGCGGGCTGGTTGACGAGCTGTGGAACGTGTACGTGTCGTTTGAGACGATGAAGCTGAGAAAGTTCGACGAGATGGGAGAAGACATCGTAGCAGAAGAGAAGATCTCGTACGAGCGAGACACTGCTCTTATCATCCGAACCCCCGTCTTGCGAGTCTGCGACTACCTGTGGAACATGTTCAGGTTCCAGCAAGACAGCGTCTTCATCTACGGGGCTGAGAGCGAAGGCAAGACAACTCTGATGACCTTCATGGCGTCCAACAGGAGGAGGTACGAGGCGGACTCGCAGGTGTCAGGGACCAGGTTGACGTCCTCCACCACCCCTCTAGAGTTCTGCAAGTGGGTCGAGAGCGAGGCGAGCCCGAGCTTCGCGGTGTCGAAGAAGATCCTGCTGGTCATCGACGACGTGCATGTGTCTCTAGAGCGCTGCGGGGAGACGTCGTACATCTCCGAGATGCTGAGGAGCGTCCAGCTGTCGCGAGCGTTCTTCAAGGCTGACTCGTTCGAGGATGAGAAGAGGTTTCAAGCCGTTTGCACCACCCTCATCGGCGACCTCCGCTCGCTCACCCGCAAATCCGATCGCCTGCTCACGAGCTTCTTCCACCTCGAGATTCGATTTGCGTCCCTTCCCAACCTCCATGGCATCCTCTCGCAGAAGGTGTCACAAGCTGAGATCTGGAGGTTCCCCAAGCTCAGGCCATACCTGGACAAGTTCACGTTCGCGCTCATGTACGTCTTGAACGCAGCCGAGCAGACCTTCACCTCGGGCCTGAGCTCGTCAAAGCGTGTGCTGCTGACGTGGAACGTGGACCAGGTTGTCACCGTCATGCAGTCCTTCAACAACCTCAAGCTGAGGAGCGACAAGGACATTGAGTTCGGCCTGCAGTACCTCTGGCACGAAGCGTCTCGAGTCTTCCTCGATCGGCTGCTGGGCTCAGAGGTGGAGCAGGAAGTGGGACTTCGGGTGAGGGAGTGCTTTGTCAAGGCGCTGGGGAGTCAGAACAAGCGGAACATTCGGATCGCCTGCGAGGCTCAAGTCTACTTCGTGACTCTCCCCGAGCTCAAAGTCAAGGACACCGGCGACTCCAACCGTCGGGCTTCCACCAAAGTCGTGTCGAGGAGCTGGGAAACGTTGGAGCTGACGGGAAGAGACATGTTGACAAGAGCTGAGAACACGCTGACGTGCTCGCGTGATTGCTCGCACCTGCTCTTCCTTGACAACCTTGTCAAGCACCTCAGTCACGTCCTGCGCGTCCTCCGGCCGGACTCGAGGATGCGATGCTGCGTCATGGCTGGACCCAGAGAGGCGGGGAAGGAGGAGGTGCTGCGGATGGCCGCGAGGATGTGCCACTACGAGATCTGCTTCGAGACAGACAGCAACGGGCTTGACGTACTGCAGGAGCTCAAGGTTTCCCTGCACCACCGCGAGCACAAGCTCTTCGTGCTGCAAAGCGACGGGCTCTTGCTTCAGAGCGTGCACGGAGAGTACGTGAGCAAGCTGATCAAGGGACAAGGGCTGGAGCGATGGGAGGCCCTCGGCAGCCGCCACGTTCGCATCGCCATCACGATGAACTTTGTGGAGAGTGAGGAGGTGGTCCGGGTGCCCGAGCAGCTGGTCAAGGTGCTGCCGTTCGCCTCGGTCTCGTGGTGCAGAGGCTGGTCGGACGAGTCGCTGCGATCCTTTGCTAGCCAGCAGACCCTGAAGGTGTCGAGTACGTGCAGCACACCTGAGGTGATTCACGACCTGCATAAGATCTTTCAGCGAGCTACGATGCGCAAATTCTCGTTGAGCTCGAAGCAGCTGTCGTGCCTCGACCCCCTAATGTTCACCTTGGTACACGTGTTCAAGTACATCTTCTCAGCGCTGCAGGAGAGGTTCGCGTCGAGAAAGACCACCATCAGGCAGGCGCTGGAGACCTACCAGAAGCTTCAGGAGCTTCAGAGCAGCGTGGAAATGGAGTATGACAACCAGAAGAAGATTGTCAAGCAGACGTCTGCCGCTCAGAGCAAGTGGCGAGATGATACAATGCAGTTCAGAAAGATTGTCCAACGAGCTCGCAAGATAGCCGAGGACGAAGAGATCGAGATGCTGCGATCTGTGCTGGAGGGCGATGCGCCGGGCCCCGAGCTGTCAAGAGAGTTCTATCAAGCTCAGATCCAGCTGCAGGCAGCTACAAAGGCTGTCGCCAACTTATCAGAGGCGCACTACATGCAGCTGGAGCTGGTGCAGGGCCATGAGGAGCTGCTGGAGTTGCTGCATGAGGCCTTGTGTGCCTGCCTCAGAATCCCCTACGAGCCCTTTGAGAGCGACCGGCTGAACCACCTCAAGTCGCTGTGCCCCCAGCTGTCGGAGAAGATCAGCAGCTTCGAGCTGCAGGCGATGAGCATGCATGACCTGCAGAGGCTGCGCAAACTGTCGTCAAACAAGCGCTTCATCCCCGAGAAGTTCTTCGTCATCAACAAGGCGGCCGGCGCTCTCGTGCACTGGGTGAGATCCGTCGAGCTGTTGGGGCGGCTCAACGAGTGGATGAATCCGAACTCGCACACCAACCAGCATCAGTCCCTGGATCAAGTGCAGCGCATGGCGCGACTGCCGCTCATGACCATGAACCAGGTCGAGTCGGAAGTTGAGAACGCGCGGGCGACGCATCTGAATGCGATCAGAGAAGAGTCGGAGGCGAAGGAGAAGATGCAGAAGCTGCGGAGAGTGTTGGAGTCTTGCAGCCTTGTCCTGGAGATTCTAGCGGATGACCAGAACTATTGGAAAGAGGAGGAGGAGGAGTTGAGCAGGGAGGAGCAGAACAGCTTTGGAGATGCCCTGCTCTACGCTTGTTTCCATACTTACTTGGGTCTCTTTGACTTCCAGGGCCGACAGAGGCTGTTGGATGAGCTCAAGCAGCATCTGCTCCAGAGCCGAATCGAAGTTTCGAGTGAGTTCAGCATCGATAACTTGTTGAAGCATATGGTTGCTATCTCCGAGTCCTTCGTCAAGTTTCCGCAGAAGAGCAGCTCGGTGAAAGAGCTTGTCTTCACCGTTTTCAACTCCCCCAAGATACCTCTGTTCGTCGATGCCTCCGGCCTCATGTGGTACTTCATGTCGACCTACTGCCGCGCTTCAGTCTTTCGCGGCAACGACGCGTCCCTCGAAGACTTCTTGACGCTCGCCAAGGACAAGGCCGAGCTCGTCCTGCTGTCTGACGTGGAGGTGGAGAGAAGGACCCTGCTGTCGCTGCTTGAGCGAAGACCAGACCTGCGACCAGAAGCGTTTGGGCTGGGGGAGAAGCAGTACGCCCTCTTCTTCTTCTCACGGCTTGACCTCCGGTCACTCGACTGGCGCAAGGACCTGACGCACTTCACCGTGTGCTGCTGTGAGTTTGACCAAGAGGCGACTGAGGAGCTCATGTCGGACCTCGTCCTCGAGACGCTGGACCCCTCGGCCAAGAGGGGATGGATGGACTATCACCGCCAGCTGTCCGTCCTGCAGAATCAGCTGCGAGGGAAGATCGAGGCGATCCGAGACCTCATCTGCCACTCGGACTTCATCGCTGACATTCAGGAGGCTGAGTCAAGCGCAACCCTCGACCTCTGCCAGTCCGTCAAGCACCTCCGAAAGCAGATGCAGGACTACGTGGTGGCGAGTGCGGAGAAGCTCAAGAACCGAGACTACTTGTCAGCTTTCTCTCGCAACTGCTCCAGCCTCCTCCGCGCAGCGCCAGAGACGAGTAGGATAACAGGTAAGACTTGGAGTCACTAGAGGAGTTGCTTGACTGTTGCCTTCAGGTGTCTTCGACTCGTCCATCCATCAGCTTAGACAAGCCTTGGGGTTGATGGACAGTGTGGATTCTATGGAGTACGGCACCAAACACTTCTCCGACGTAATGAGCAAGCAGACAGATGAGATCGTAGCCGCCTGGCTGTCCCTCACCTTCCTCGCTCTCCCCGACTCTCAGTTCGGTCTCGTCTCCCTCGTCTGCCTCGCCCACGTGCATGGCCGTCCCTTCAACAAGGTTTGGGCCCTGTGGCAGGCGGCGACTCGAGCGCTCCACGAGGCGGGCGAGGCGGACCTGTGCTCCCTGGGCCAGAGGGAGTGCGGACCCCAGCAGATGTTCAGCAGGGTTGGATGGAGGGTCTTGCGGGAGATGAAAGAACAGCTGGGGGTGCATTATGACGCGTTGGTGATGAGCATAGAGCACGACCCTGGCAGGTGGAGGCGATACGTAGAGAGCCAAGCTCTCTCCCTCGACTCCTTCCCCTTCAAGTCCTCCGGCTCCATCTCGATGCCTCTGGAGAAGGTGGTGGTGTGCGCCATGGCTCTCATGCCGCACAGGCTCAACGAGCTGCTTGACGTCTTGACGGGGGAGACTCAGACGAGGGTGTGGAGGTTCATGGAGGACAATCGGGTGAAGTTGAGCCAGTACATGGCCAGACTTGATCTCAACGTCTCCACCTTTCGTCATGGGGCATCTGCTCTTGCCTATACTCGCATCATTGCTCAACAGCTGCACAGCCTTGACCCGACAAGCTCCTCGCCTGCTCGCCTTGAGCTCCAGCATGAGGGCGACACCGACGGGGGCAGCAGGAAGGAGGAGGGCAAGCACGACCGTTGGGTGGTCACCGAAGCTCCGGATGCGACTTGGAAAGGAGAGGGAGGCTCAGGGCGGGTGAAACTTGTGCGGGTATGGGACTATACGACCTCGGCCTCGTTCAAGCAGCTCAAGAACTCCATGACGCTGAGCGACGGGATGATGCTTCTACCCCCTGCTCTCCTGCAAGCCATGGTCCATCAGTCCTGGGCTCGACGAAGCGATGCTCCCTTCTGGAGGTTCGCCGTTGGACTCTCTTACTTCCTGTCTCTGCTTCTACAAACATGCGGAAAGATGCAAGCTCAACATCTGTTCGACATGGTGCCGATCAAGCATGTGCATGTCACGTTGCTGTGTGAGCGCATGGCTGAATGGCAGGGCGACAAGGTGAGGCTTGTGATGCCGAAGCTCATCGGGAGTCACTTGAGGCATCAGGTCGAGGAGCTTGCTGACAGCATCCTCCTCCATGTCGTGAACTTCTTGGGCGACGTGGCCATGACGTGGCAGGCTCAGCAGCTCGAGGGTCTCTACCGCAGCATCATATGCGAGAAGCTCTTCGGAGAGAGTGAGAGCTTGACGGTGATGCTTGCGTCCTCGTGCGCGCCCTGTGATGCCTTGAAGCAGGTGCTGGACAACAAGATCGCAGCTCCAGACGCACATGTCGCCTCTCAGTCTGCGATGATAGCCTATGCTCTCACCTTACCTCCGTTGCACCCTCGGACGTTGGACAGTCTCACGATCAAGGTAAGGTCGGTGCTTCAGCCCGCTCCTCACACTGCTGGTCAGTATGAGTGGAGCACGGAAGAAGCCATCCTCCGAGCCCTCCCGACGCCTCTCGTCCATCTCGCCAACCTCAACATCTCGCGTGTCTTGTCCAAGCTGGACACACTCGTCATGCCCAACCCGCTGGTCGGTCTTGCCTCCCTCTTGTCGTCCCTCATGTCCTTCCTTCAGACTCAAGGCCGCATCCGGGTGCTCGGGAGGGAGGTAGAGGTGGGGCCCAGCTAGGATCGAGCTGACTCGCGTGAAGGGTGGGGGATTGCAGAGCAGAACAGCGCTGCTCATGTACGAGGCCTTCGTGGGAGACGAGATGCTGGCGCACAACACAGTCGTGGAGACCATCACCGTATCAACCGTATCAATGTCATGTCGCTCCGCTTGACTCAATGCATGCAGGAGAGGATCAAAGCCTGCAAGCTGCTGCTGTCCGGACGAGTCTGACAAGCCTGAGCTTGACAGTCTTCACTGTTGACGAGAGTTGCAGGCAAAGTTGAGTGAGAGCAGCGGCTTGGTACAAGCCCTTGCTCGAGAGAGGTGCCTCCTGACCCGTCTTGTCCCTCTTGACTTTGTGGGGATGGCAGGGTTCCGGCGAGTTGGGATGTAGGGGCGAACAAAGTTGGCATGCCTATCAGCAGGTTTCTGGAGCAAGTGAAGGAACGAGGAGGCTGGCTTCAAACTTGCATCAGCAACCTCAACCAAGCGGTGAGAGCTGCTCAAGTCGCTCTAAAGTGAAACCTCTTCTCAGAGCATACACGCCAACTCACCTGCAGTCCCCTTGCACCTGCACTATGAGCCGGGGCACCTCTTTGACATGTTGCTCGCCCTCAATCACAACTCCGACAGGTCGAGGTCAAGTTTCATGGTTGCTACTGACACCTTGCGCTAGAAGCGACGCCGCGGAGTCCGACATCTCGCTCATGGTCCTTCCTGCCTTGGCCTCTTTCTGCTCGCTCACGCCTAGCAGTTGTATCCCCTCAAGGACCTCGATGATCTAGCTCGGTCGTGGCCGCAGGCTTGCGTGCTTGCTCTAGTGTACTTCAGGTGCTGTGACGGCTCTCTGCTTGCAGATTGACGAAGAAACAGGCGGACCAAGTTCGATGCTGACGAAGGAGTGCTGCGAAGTGTTGTTAACGAGCAAGACGCTTCATTGCATCCTGCCGAGAGAGTTTGCGTCATGGTTTGCTCGCCTTGAGCTCGCTGGATGTGACAGGCATGTCTCAGGTCTGCAAGAGAAGCTCGATGCCTTTAAGGAGGCAGATGAAGAAGGAAGGGCTGAGCTGGTGCAGCATCAGGCTCTATCGCTACCCGCTCCACCCGCGGGTATGCCTCCTGCTTTCCTTGCATCTGGTGACAGTGCGGCAGCTCTACGGGCATGCTTCTTTGCAGTACGTGTGCAACCTTGTCGTGAGGACGGACTTGCATCCCTCTCGCGTCGATGAGCTCGGAGTCTGCGCCTTCCTGTCGTCGACCATGCATGCAGGTGATGGGCTACAGTGACTGAGACCGTGTCCGCCGTCGCTACCTGAGTGCGCTCCTGTAACCAAGCTGATAATGGCACGTAGTCTGAGTCACTGATTGGCCCCGGACTTGAAGTCTAGCCGAGTTAGTCACTAGTAGACGGTCACTGCTAGCCTTTGAAACCGGGCCGCCGTCCACGGTCACCCTCGTCAAGTGCCATGATCGGATGTCGCGGCCGCCAGCCGCAGCCGCGAGTATAGGTGCCACAACTTCGCAAGGCCCCCGTGTCAGGCTGAGTCAGTAGTGGCACCTGGCTCGTAGAGTCTACGGTCGGAGTGGTCCCTACCCGGGCCGCGCCTAGTGACTACTACCGGGCCGTACGGCGCAGTCATGATGGACTCCGGGAAGCACTACACCACTAGCTAGACTACGAGTGTAGAATTGAATACCCGGGATGCCTCATCGGAGCCTCCCGGTACGGTATCTCATCATAGTAGAAGCCGCCCTACCGTACACCTACTAGGGTCCGAGTCACTATCCGGCGGAGTCGGAAGCCCTACCCCCGGTACCGTACGGTAGACCGTACTACCCGTACACTACCCGCCCCGGTAGTACCGGCCGGCGGAGTATCATGACCGTACTACGGAAGCCGCCGCGCCCGGAGGTATAGCGCCGCGATCGGACCGTACCGGCGGTCTCAGTGACTCCCGCGCGCCGCACGCCGGCCCGGCCGGTCGGACCGCCCGCGTGGCGCGGCCCCGCGCCGCACGGTGACAGTGCTGGCCCGCCCGTCGGGCCGGCCGGCGCCCGTCAAGTACGGTTGTCCGGGCCGAGTCCGGGCCGCCCGACTCCCGGGGGCCCCGACCCGGGGGGTAGTGCCCCTGAGTAGGCTATCGGAAGCTAGACTGAGTTAACTTTCGGAGGCTACGGTAAAGACTGAGAAGGTAGCCCCCGCCGACTTCCGCGATCACGGTGCAGCGGCCCGGCCTTCAAGCGGAGGCTTCAAGCCGCGGTGAGCTGCACGAGCACTTGAGGGGAGGGTCAAGGGAGGATACAAGCCTGATGTCCCTTCCTCACGGGCCTCCAGAAGTACGTCGGGACCGTACTACGGTACCCCCCACCCACCTACGTACTGCACCCACTGAATGCTTCAGATACTGCTTGCTGCTGTGTGAACCTGGTATGGGTAGACCCCTCCTCTAGGCATTAAACCACCCCCTACTTTCAAGGTTTACTTATCTCGAAGCGTCCCTTCCTCAACCTCTTGGGACGGCACGCACTTGCCCCCTATTAAAACCACCCCTACCTCCTCATCCAGTGACCCTACCCCCTGTCTTTCTCAATATCCCATCGTTTCATGCCCCTACATCCCCGCTCTCCACCCCTACCCATGATAGATCAGCACGTCTATTGAGAAAAGAAGGGGTAATACCAGACTCACCCCTTCAAATCAGTTCAAATTCAACAACCCCCACCCCCCCCTAACAAACTTTTGATCACCCCACCCACATGTCCTTCTATCAAGCAATCTTTGTGTTGCACCCAAAAGGACCCTAGCTTGTAAGAGTACCCCCACCTATTAACTCGAATATTCGCAAAGCTCATCTGACCAACATACCTTATTGACATACCTTATATGAATGAGGATAATTTATCTATAAATGACACTATGATATTTTCCTATAGTAGGGAACATTGCATACTAAGGCACCTACCAGTGACATGTGGACCCATTCTGGTTGCTACTCGCTCGACTACCCCTCATGTTTGGACCCTGACCCCCCAATTAACACAGGATCTTTCACATACCCCCTTTTCCTTTTTTTTTTTACTACCCACCCCGAGATCCCTCCACATCTACCCACCCTGTTTTCTTTGCTATGACCATGGAGGTCTGACCCATACATTTACCAATCCTACCCCTCCATTTGACCATACAGGATTGGTGTTTGAACCACCCACCCCTGTAATCTAGTTGTCAAAGGACCCATACACCTAGAGTATCTTTACCACCTCAGTACCCCAAACGCCCCCCCTTTTAAGTCTCATCGACATTGGCATAAGAGCACGCGCAGTTGCTGGTGATGAAGCATCTCATTATCTAACACCTTATCCTCTCCATCACAGCTCAGCGCTCTGTCTCTGTCTGTTCTTGCTCTGTCTCTGTCTGTTCTTGCTCTGTCTCTGCCTGTTCTTGCTCTGTCTCTATCTGTTCTTGCTCTGTCTCTGTCTGTTCTTGCTCTGTCTCTGTCTGTTCTTGCTCTGTCTCTGCCTGTTCTTGCTCTGTCTCTATCTGTTCTTGCTCTGTCTCTGTCTGTTCTTGCTCTGTCTCTGTCTGTTCTTGCTATGTTTCTCTGTCTCTCCGTCTATGCCTCACCTGCTCTCTACACTATCTTCTACTGATAGATCTCAACATGAATTTCTTGTTGATGTCCTCCTTGAGAATTCCTGGCGTTATGTCTTGCTCATGTGGAAGTAGTGGAATGTCCGAACATTCGAAGGAAATTTGTTGTGTACTAGACAGCACAGTGGTCGCTCCGAAATCATCTTTCTCACTAACCCTCACTCATTTTTTGTCGAAAACATCAGTTTCTCACTATGTTTTGCAGATAAACCGGCAAGTGAAACAGCGATTGTAGGGATGTTTGCACGTACATTTCTCCGAGCAGTCCCTGCTCGCGCTTTCTCTGCTGCTTCGCAGTTTGCAAGCAAGAGCATGAGCAAAAAGTGGTCCTGGAAGGCAAGAGCTGCTGTTTTGGCTGCAGGTGGCTTCACAACTTATGCTGTTGTGGACTATGGCCTTCATCCCCGTCCCTCTAGCGAGGTTGTGGATGATCTTCTCCTCACTAAGCCCGCAACTGAGAGGAAGGAGCGTCTGATTGTGCTCGGATCTGGCTGGGGTGCAGTCGCTCTGCTTGACAAGATCGACCCGTTCAAGTACGAGGTCATCTGTATCTCTCCTCGCAACCACTTCGTCATGACGCCGCTCCTGCCCTCTGTCACCGTGGGAACCATCGAGACCCGCACTGTCGTTGAGTCTATCCGTTCCATCTGCCCCCACGTCAAGTTTATCGAGGCCGAGTGCACTGGACTGAACCCGCAGGGCAAGACTTTGACCTTCACCTCTTCCAAGCGCCCCAGCAGCAGCAGGGAGGTGCAGGACAGCGCCAAGACTCGTCCTGAGTTTCAGATGGCGTATGACAAGCTCGTGGTGGCGGTCGGAGCTGAGAACAACACCTTCAACACCCCCGGAGTTGAGCAGCACGCTCACTTCCTCAAGGAGATCATCGACGCCCGCAGAATCCGTGCTGCTATCGTCGATGCCTTCGAGAGCGCTTGTAACCCGGCTCAGACCGAGGAGGAGAGGAAGCGTCTCCTCAACTTCGTTGTCGTTGGTGGAGGGCCCACTGGCGTTGAGTTTGCCGCCGAGCTCGCTGATCTCCTTCACGAGGATTTGACCAAGTCTTTCCCTAAGCTGAAGAACGATGTCAAGATCCGCCTCATCGAGGCCACCGACAAGGTTCTCGGCATGTTCGACTCCAAGGTTTCCGCCTTCACCGCGCAGACTTTTGAGAAGGAGGGTATTGAGGTTCTGGCGAATACTTTTGTCAAGGAGGTGAAGCAGAAGGAAGTTCTCGTGCAGAAGAAGGGAAGCAAGGAGATCGAGTCCATCCCCTCGAGCGTTGTCGTGTGGGCAACCGGCATCAGGAGCAGGCCCATCACCAATAAGATCAGGGAGTGCATCGGCGTGAAGGAGCAGACCAACCCCCGCGCTCTCCTTACCGACGGATTCCTCCGTGTTAGGGGGGCTGACGGCGTCTATGCTATGGGCGATTGCGCGACCATCGACGGCAAGCCCCTGCCTGCGACTGCTCAGGTGGCGTCACAGGAGGGCAAGTACCTCTCCAAGTACCTCAATGGCCTTCCTACCGCTCACGAGGACTCGTCTGTCTTGAACGCCGTGCGCAAGATGTACTGGAAGGTGGCCGGCGGCTTTACCTCCGAGCCCTTTGAGTATGCTCACCGTGGCTCTCTTGCTTACACTGGCGGGGACTCAGCGGCTGCTGACTTCAAAGGCGCTATGAACGGCTTCTTTGACTCCATTGGCATGTCTGTGATGACTGGCAAGGCCACCAACATCCTCTGGCGCAGCTTCTACATGAGCGAGCAGCTGTCGATGCGCACCAAGGCGCTCCTGGCTGTCGACTGGGCCAAGGCCAAGGTGTTCGGGCGTGACTTCAGCCGCTATTAAACGTGTGAATATGTGTAGTCTAGTGAACTTGTTGCTTCTGCTAGTTTCTAGTTTCGTCAAGATTTTTTTAAAGTGATAAAGATGATCCAGCTGAACTGGGATGCAAAATTATGAATTAAGACTATCTAACTTCTGGTGCTTGTGTTTCATTAATGTACATAACTTTATCATTCAGACTGTTGCGAACCAGATGCAAAAAAAACTCAATACTGTGATCAACTGGACCCATCAAACATCAGTTTTGGGACTCAAATCTGCAAAGCTCACCACGACACCCACATCCTGCCTGTTGACATTTGCTATTGATGTACAAGCAGACTCGTATTGGGAAGGATTAACCAAACATTCCGTGCTGAGATGACAAGACGTGAGACGTCAAAGAGTTAACTGGAACATAACAACCTTCTGTCCTTGGCACAAGAACTGAGACAATCGTTGCAAGTTTCGCGGCATGTCTCGAAAAGAAACGACCCCTTCAAGGCCCATCAGCAGCAGCAGGCCAACATTTCTTGGATCCTCACCTGCGCTGACTCGTTGAGATAGAAGCACCTCGGAAACAAGTTGGCGCAGATGTATCCCTGGGGTTACGATAAGTCTCAGTGTGACAGTGAGTGAGTTCAAACAACTGGCAATCACCTTGCAAGCTTCCGAGCCGCATCCATCGTTCTTGGTCAACTTCTCCCATTCTGCTTTTGCAGCCTGACGAATGCAAGTCAAATAACAGATCTTGCCTCTCTCTGAGTTTTGCATATCACACTTATAGTCACTCTTAGTTTGTCATATTAAAAATCTTGCATTAATGTTTTTGAGCATTTCATCATAGTCCCTCTCACCACGTCAAGTTTGGCTGCAAGCATCTTGTCCCAGTTTTCAGTCACCCGCACCTGCACAAACACAATCAGTCTAGATTTCATGCTTTCATTTGAAGTACGGGATATTCAATCTTGCAGAAACTGTTGGTCAGACTGCCGAGGTAGTTGGAAGTCATGTCGGAGGATATGCAGCATCTAAAATGAGATAAGGAGTCATTGACAGCGCTGTTGCCAGTCATGTTGCTTACGGTGATGCTGTTGTACAATTCTGCAAATCAAAAGTCTTGATTGATAAAGTGAACTTGGCCGAACAGCAAAGGAGAAGAAGATATAGCTTCTTCATGTTCAAGTGTGATAACTGTGGAAGCACATCGCTGGTAAGTAAAAATCTACAAGAATTGTTTGCAGACACGACTTTGTCTGCCTGCTGCACTATCATGGACCAGCTATTGCGACAGTTAATTTGGACTCTCCTACCGACTCTCAATCAACTGCTTCCATCCACATTGTGACTGTAGAAATAAGACTCTTCCACTCTCCAACACCTCATTCTTGAATCAACTCTTGTCTGTGATAATACATCATCGCAATGACTGCCGCTGTGCTCTTCTCGCCGCCGAATAATCTGCGGGCTTTGCGCATCGAGCACATCTCTGCGGCTGTGCTAGCAAAGAGCATGTCTCTACAGGACATACACCATCGAGAGACTCTCTCATCAGCAGCATTCCGTTGCTACTCGTTCTTCAGCCTGCCCGTTCAATGGCGTTCTGACCGGCGGGCCGATAAGTTCCTCAACTTTCCTTTAAAACCCATCAGACTTGATTTTAAATCAGTACCACTGATTTTCTTGCTGTAGTCAAGGGTACCTATAAAAATGAATTAAACTATATTTGGATTCATAAAAAGAATTTTAGAAAGGAGGCAGTACAATCCATTTGGTCTCATCTACAATAATTTTAATTTCAATTACCAAGAACAGGCCTGCCTCGTTTTGATATATATGAATATTGCAGGGCAGCAGAACATATTTGCAGTCTTTCTACCTCGCAGTGGGGCAACTTCAATTACCCATGACCCCTGTTTACTACCGAGATCCACCCAACCTTGGTGACATACAAAGGACCCCTCTATTCACTACCAGCAAATATACCCCCCCAATTTACAGTAACAGATTATACCCTAGTGTGATACGTATTACGAAAGTTGTTTTGAACTCTGTGACCCACGCACCTCTTTGAAAATTGAATATTTATCAATGATATTTGAAATTTGTCATTTATTTTCAGAGTTCTAGGTGTAAGGGGCGCAGGGAGCAAGGGGGCACCGGCAAGCTCGCACCAGAGCCAGATAGCCGTCAGGTGTGGAGCAGAACAAATCAGTTAGGACAAACACGGCGAGCAGAGCAAAGCAGCAACGACCCAAGGAGTCCTTTCGCTGTACCCAACTGGCCATCGTCAGCCGCAGGCGCAGAGGTAAAGCTTCCCTTGCTCGGCCAGACAAGGCGAGGCTGACGGGCCCTGTCCTCCCCTCAATCGTAAGAGGCTAGCATCAAGCATTCCTACGACAGTAATCTCCAGCCTCATTCAGTGACAATGAGCAGCTGCTGTAACTATATTTGTAGTTCGCTTTCAAAAGATTCCTGCATTACAAAGTTGAGTTGTGCGTACCAGAAGTCTACCCAATGCTGTAAGCAATTCTTGTTGTGCATGCCCCTCTTTGTCTCAAACTTGCTGTAGGCAGCATCGATTGCTATTGTCGCTGGTCAGCGGCAGGTGAGATTTTTCTCTGCAACACTGGGTGGTCTGACAGGACAATCGTTGTTGTTTGTTAGGGTCTTGTGCACCGGTCACACGTGTGTCTGGAACATTGATTATCATGCGTGCATGGCCTTATCTACTGGCTTTTCTTCTCCTCAGCTTCATATGTTGTTGCCTTAGGTAGGAATACCACCAAGATGTTTTTGTTGAAATCATGACCTCTGATGCTTATTTTCTTCCAGCCGAAAATTGCTTACGATGGAGGATGCAGAAAACAGAGCTCGTTCGTCAAATAATGTGTTTATTGCTTCATTGAGTACTTCTGTTCAAGACACTCTGGAACATGACTCGATAGAAATGCAATTGGAAGAGATTCTTAGCACAACTGGAAGTTGTAGTCGAATACTCAGGTTCGTTTGCCACGTTGAATCTAGCTTCGAAGCTCAAGATTTTATGCTGTTGTAACAGGGCAAAAATCCATTACAGCCTTCACACAAGGGGAAAGGTGCTACAACGGATGACTTCGTTTTGCGAATACTCATTCAAAATCTGCAGATTCTCAAAAGATCCAAGTACGTCTTTCACAATTATGTTTCGATTTCGATGTCGCCCTTTTTCACACAGCTTCTTGTAGTGTTGTTTACAACGAAACTATGCCAGAACCATTGCTGGAAACGAACAATGCGCAGAACCAACTTTTTCATGTACGTTGAAGCTCCATCTGATCCTGATAGACACCTCCATCATTGTTGCCATTGGCAATTTCCCAGGTACTAAAATGATCTGTGCAGGTTGAAGCGGCCGCGCCTCGCGCTTAGGTACCGTACAATCATCGTGATTGGCCGGTGGCACTCGACTCAGCGGCAGTGCCACCGTGCCGATCATATGATCGGATGATGATCAGCGCGCCCGGCCGCGACGGTCGGACAGCCGCCCGGCCGTCTAGCAAAGCGGAGCGGCCGGGCTCACAAGATTCCGGAATGATTCCGATGATCGGACGGCGGCACCGCCCGGCCGGCGGCCGCTGATGAACGGTTTCAAGCAAGTTTAAGGGTTGATGTTGTTTCACAAGGTAGTAGCTTTCAAGGTATATACAGTATATGTCACTGAGTCACTGTCACATTGAAGACGGTCACCACGGTGACCCGGTTCAAGTCAGTGATCATCGCCGGGGCAGGACTCGTCCGATCCGTACGCGGCCCGGTCCGAGTGTCGGGTGACGGCGACGACCGTCTACGGGTACGGTACTACTTAACTCTGAGTAAAGGCACAGTACTCCGTAGCACGGTACGGTCGAACGGTCGTGCCCCTTTTTACTCAACGGTCACTCACCGTCACTGCTCAGCCGGAGCCTCTGAGTGCCGCGGCGGCCGGGCGCCGGCGGCCGGGCGGCTCAGTAGTGCCTCTTCCCCGCTCAGTCCCCTCTCGCGCAGGGCGGCAGGAGGGGCGGCAGAGGGCAGGCAGGAGGGCAGGTCCAACCAAGCCTGGGACAGGCAAGAGGGCAGGCAGTTGAGGGAGGTAGAGACTGTTGGTGATCCCTCGTCGTAGCAGCTCTGCGTTTGCTTGGGATCCCTTCCTCTCTCCGCTTCTTCCGACCGTCCTTGATAACTTGCGCCACATCCTAGTTTGTTACGACACTTAATTTCTCGGCTCTTCGCTCCCCTGAGGTGCATCAAGAGTCTCGTCGGTACTGCTGGTCCAGCCCCTCTTTTCGTAGCTCTTCACCTCCTATCTGAGATCTTCTTGCATTGTCTTGTTTGTTGCTTGCGGGGATTTGAATCGCTTCCTGTCAGAACTAGGAGGCAACCATAGCGGGTCCTGAACATGAGGACGAGGCACCTCATCGTCGCTATCATGTTTGCTCACCTACTGGCTTGTCATACAGCCAAGAATAATCTCAAAGACCCGGAGGATGACCCGGCAGCTGAGTATGATGAAATGGCGCATGAGTCGGAAGGGGCTGCAACGCATGCCGACTCGGCTTTCGAGCAATACACAGAACGGCTGCAGCAACAGTTAGAGTCTCTGAGGAAAGAGCACGACGAGATATTTGGCAGAGCAGACACGAACAAAGATGGCATCATGGACAAAGCCGAGTACATTGCCTTGCATCGAGAGGCAGAGAACGTAGAGAAATCGGATCGCTACAATCAAACGGAACTAGACGAGGGGTATGCGAGTCTGGACAAGGATCAGAACAACCTTTTGAGCCTTGAGGAGTGGCGGAGACCATTCGAAGAACACACTGACTCATGGTTGCACATAACAGACGCAGAGGCACAGCACGAAGCGCACATCGCTCGATACAAGGAAGTCTTCAATCAAATCGACAGGATGAGGGACGGAGAACTTGACTTGTACGAGCTGCAGATAGAAGTTGAAAACCTTCACGCACGGAGAAAAGCCATGGAAGAAGATGAAGACGAGGAGGAGTCTATCTCAGGTACCAAGGACCGAGTTGTGAAAATATCTGGATCAGATATGCTGCTGATGATGGATATCGACAAGAACGGAAAAGTTTCTTTTGAAGAATATTTGATTGGAAGCGAACTGATGAACGAATAAGTGGATTAGCTTCTAGGTTCATCATCAGCATTTTTCTCTTCCTGTTTGCCAGTGATAGAGATTACCGTGACTGACTCAAAGTGACTCTTGAAGCATCAAGTTTCAAGTGTGCAAAGTTTTCAAACCCCCGAGCCGAAGAGAGCACTTTGTTTCAATAATCTCGTATTAGAGTTTCAATATTTTCGTAAAGACTCGAAAGTCAGAAGCCCGGCGGCTCGCTCAGGCTCGGACTCGCCGACCGGGGACCGCGCCGCCGCTCGCCGGGCGCCGCGGCCGCCGCGGCCCGGCCCGTCGCAGGACGGTCCGACGACCGTGCAATGCGGCCCACCGTGACTGGCGGCTGGGCGGCTCAAGGTTCAAATCAACAGGTCCGAAGTTGGCACCCGGTCAGTGCTAGCCTAGTATGCCAGGTCCGAGGCTGGCACATTTCAAGTTTGTGACTCGGCACGGTCCCGGCCCGGCCGGCCGGGGCCCGGCCGGGGCGGCCCGCCGGGCCGGGGGCCCGGGCGGCCGGGGCCCGGGCCACTGCCCGCAGTCGCCGTGCCGGTTCGACCGTCGGACGGCCGCTGAACGGCCCCCCGCCGTCAGTACGGTACTGAGGCCGACTTGCCAGGGGCATCCGGTGGGCGCGGCGGCGCGGCGGGCCGCGACGCGCCCCCGCCCGCGCTCGCGGACCGCCCGCGCGGCCGCCGGGCCCGGCCTGCCAGTGCCAGGGCGCCCGGTGACGGCGCGCCGCCGGCGGCCCTCAGCAGTCGGACGGCTTTTTCAAACCGGCCGGGCCGGGCGCCGGGCCGCCGGCGGCGCGGCGGCCGCCGGGCGGCCGAGTCAGGCGCACCGTACTGCGGCATGCCATCATGACGCCGTGAGTGATGCCATCATTCATTACTGATAGTAATGACTCCGAGTCCGGACCGCCGTGCAGCCTTGAGTCACTGTGACTGGCTCCTCAGTGGCAGCTCGGCATGATTGGTCCGACTGCCGCACCGCGGCCGCCCGGCCGGGTACGGTGGGTATCCGGGCCGGCCCCGGCGGCCGGGCTAGCCGATCCGATCGGATCACTGTCACCGATCACGGCGGATCCCGGCCCGGCCGCCGCACTGCAGGCCGCCGAGGCTCAGCTGCCAGCTGAGTGATCCGGGCCACCGAAGGACCGGAGTACGGTACCTTTGAGTAAGGTAATCCCACTGTCCGAACTGTCTTTATGCGTGCAATCCGCAGGTAGTACAATTTTTTGGTCCCCAGAGGTTGCAGCTGCTGACGTGGCGAAAACATTCCGAACCACAACCGAAGGGGAGTCCTTTCGACGACGGATCCAGGTGGCAGAGGTTTGTAAGGTGCTTGCTGACTGTTCTCGATCCTTCTGTAGCTGTTCTAAGGTATTCGCGAGATTTCTATTGTTAAATACCCCCACCATCCACTCACTACCCCTTTCTTCCTCTGGGCGGATGAGCATGACGTGTGACCCTATCGCACCCTCCCGTTCCCTGGTTACTCACACAGGGCCCACTGACAAGCTAATTTCCTCACCTCTTATGGGTCGGCAGTCCATAACCCCCACCCTCCTCGTTTACTTGAGTTTTACGGGTGATGTGGAACTGATCCTAAAACCCTTTTTAAACAGCTATTTTACCACAGACCCCTGACAGCTACCCTACCACATGAATAGAGTCCGGATGAGTGTTGATAAGGGGTGGTCACTATGCAAAGGTATAAAAAGATCCATTTAAATATCCCTTATGCGTTACGTCAGCTCAAAAATACTTTTGGCGTAAAATATTTTTAAAGGGGGGCAAGGGTAATGCTACCCTACCACCTATTTCATAGAGATTCGCAGGGGTACCTCGACTGTTGGGTACCCCCTTACCATCCTGTTCCTCACATGTCCTCTTACCCCACCCCCTTCTTTGAGCCGTTTTGGACCCACGTGCAGTGGCTCCATCGCACATGCGCCTCACCCCACCCCACCTACCCCTTAGCCGCTCTCACGTCCACTCGCAAATCAAAGTTCACAGGCGGTCAATGCACATATAGAGCCATGTCCTCGCCCTCTCCTCTGCTCCAGTCTCCTGTTCCAGCCCCCTCCACTTCCCTCCTTCCCTCCTTCCCTCCTTCAGGCTGTTGCTGGCATCTTGTTGTGCTCCTAGCCCATTCCTTTCTCGATGTTCCAGTTCTTGCCTCTACTGCCCTCACAGTCTGTTTGTCTTTGGCAACTGCCAGTCCTTGACGAGCAATCATGCCAACACCTGTTGGCATAACTACTTGACCATCTTTACAATTTCATTATCTCACTTCATAATACTGACTTTGTCCCTCCGATCTCTTTCTAAAGGAGCTGAGAAACTGGGAACACTATGTCTTGTTGTACACCACAACATCCTAGTTCTAGTTCAGTTTCTGGAACAAAAAAGAATGCAGTGCTTGATGAGCGAAGACATCAGTGAAACTCTCATGTTTTTGTAACCGTCACATCTTGTCATTTTTCACTTGCTACTTCTTGTTGGCCCTTGAATGTTTTTGAATGCAAGTGGTCCACAAATTTCATGTCGCTTACACAGTGTGCAGGTTCATAGTGGAGGATGGAGGACAACCAATCCACTCTCTCATCGTTCATCGTCAAGCTCACCCTCATGCTCAAGGATGCTACAGCATACCCTTACATCTCGTGGTCTCACTCCGGGGAGAGCATAGTCGTCACAGACCCAACTGCGTTTGCCATAAAAGTTCTGCCGAGGTAAGCAAATACCCGGACCCCCCGCTTCCTCCTCATGCTTGTTCTCATCTGGTCTGTGGCAGGTATTTCAAACATGGAAATTTTGCTTCTTTCGTCAGGCAGCTCAATCTCTACGGATTTCACAAGACTTCGCAAGAGGCAACAGCTTGCGAATTCACCAACCCCCTGTTTCGGTATGAAGAGGCGGCAAGGTGAAATGAAGCGATGACGTGGAGTGTAGGAGGGGAGACGAGCACCTGCTGAAAGCTATCAGGAGGAAGGTACCGAAAGACCCGCAAGACAAGGAGCTCTTCAACGTTGCGTGCGAGAGCGAGAGGCTGATGAAAGACTTTGCTGACTTGAGGTGAGGGAGGAGGAGGGGGGGGGGGGTGACGGTGAGTGACCGGGTTGCGATGGATCAGATCCAAGTATGAGAAGCTTGAAAGTGCACTGCAGCAGAAGGAGGCTGAGAAGCAGATGATCGTCAACGAGCTCATGCAGAGCAAGCAGCGACAAGAGGTTGGGGAAGAGGGAGGCAGCGTGAGCAGCTGACGGCATGTCAGGTCTTTGAAGCCCGTCTTGACAAGATGGTTCAAGTCTTGATGAAAGCTTGCTCTTCTGTCGGAATATCTCCCCTGCCCTGCTCGGGCAGCAAGCGGCAGATCATGGACTTGGACGGCAAGAGCAGCGTCAAGCGCCCTTGCCTGCTGGTAAGGATGCAGGATGTGAGGGAGGAGGAGGCTAACGAGTCGAGTAGGAGGGGATTGACGGAGAGATGGCGGGCGGGAGGATCGACCATGTGAAGATGGACGAGTGGCTTGACTCTCTTCTTACTGATACTCTTGGGGATGCCAAGAATGCACTAAAGGTTCGCCATAACCTCCTCCTCCTCCTCCTCCTCCTCTTCAACCAACCCCTACCCTCCCCCTTCCTGTCCCCATTCCCCTTCCTCCTCTGCAAGTTTCGCCTACTCTTGTCTCCTGCTCCCCGTCGCAGTCTGATTGTTGCTCAGTCCCAAGAATGGACGGCAGGGCGCGAGCCTCTCAAGCTCACCAACGGGAAGCAGAGCAGCCGGAAAGATAGCATGGAGGAAGCAGCGAAGCAGCAAGACAGGTGACCTTGCCGTTCGTTGCTCCTCCTCCATTGACCATTGTTGTGTCAGCATCGTCCTCGCTCTGGACGAGCCGCTAGAGGAGGTGCTGTTCGAGCAACATGCTCCTCTCGAGATTGGCGACGGCCCTGCTGCAGACCTGTCAGAGAACATGGTAGCCAGCATCGCACAGCCAGCAGCGATGCCGTTGGAGGAGGCACCAGCACAGGTCCTTGCCATCTTCCTCCTCCTACCCTGCTTACCATCCCACATCACTGCTTCCCGCCTGTCTTGTCCTTTTGTCTTCACCTCCTCCTCCATTTCCTCGCTAACGATCGCGACAGCTCGAGAGCGTGCGGCTCGATAGTCAGACCCTCGATCTCGACAACTTGCTGGGCATTTCGGAGCAGGAGAACGACTTGGAATCACTGATGGGTGCTCAGCAGTCAGTTGGGATGCGGGCGGGATCGTTACTGTTGCCTCGGACGGAGATCGCAAGTAAAGTGTGAAGAAGGTTGTACAAACAAAGTGAAGGCCTGTTGGCTCGGTGATGTAATGAATGTATTTTACTTACAATGTTGATACGCTACTGCTGCTGCTCCTGCTGCCCTCATTGTCCTCTCCTCACCCCTAGCGTGAGTTATCTTCGTCGTGCCTCCTGCCTCCACCTTCACTGTTTGGTCGATGGCAACCTTCCTTCTCTCCCACCCCTTTATCATGTCAGTTGAACCCCCTCACCTCCTCTCTCCTCTAGCTCCCTCCTCTCCTCCCTTCCCCTCTCGATCCCCGGAGCTTCTCCTCGTCTCCTCCCACCTGATTCGGCGCAGAGGAGTGTTGGCGTCTGCGTTCTTGAGAACCTTCAGGGGGCGTGAGCCGCCGGAGGGAGGGAGAGACGAAGTAGAGGAGCGAAGAGCGAGGGGATGGGGGGAGGACAGAAACTTGAGAGAAGTGCGGGAAGGAGGAAGACTGGGAAGTGGATGGGGGAGGCTGAGGGCAGGGAAGGAGGAGGGAGGGGGAAGGAGGAGGTAGAGGGCAGACAAGGAGAGAGGAGGGAGGAGGGAGGAGGGAGGAGGGAGGAGGGAGGAGGGAGGAGGGAGGAGGGAGGAGGGAGAGGAGAGCCTCGGACCTTGGGCGCTCGCATGTGATCCAACATGGTTTTTGACTTGGCTCTTGCAACCTGAACCTCTTCAGCCCACATCACATCCTCCTCTTGCTCCTCTTGCTCGTCCTCCCTCGCCTTCTTCCAACAGCTCCCACTCCTTCCTCCTTCACCTGGAGCGTCTGGTCTGAGTGTAAGAGGACGATATTCCTGCATGCCTGAGTGAGAAGGACAGGAACAAGACGGAAAGAGGAGGAACAAGGGAGCCTTGACGTCCACAACAAGGAGGATGGAGGAAGAAGGTGGGGGGCTGAGAGGGGTGGAGAGGGAGCGTAAGGATAGATGGAGGGATTTACCTCAACTCGTTGGTTGAAAGATTGCAGCCATAGTGAGGATAAGATCTGCGAAGCGATGAGAGTAGGCGAAGAGGAAGCGAGCGCGAAAGAGGAAGGGAGG